AAAATTATATTGTTATAATATGATGTAAGCATTTAATATTAAATTACTTAATGATATAAACGAAATTGAAATAAATACAGAAGAATATTAAACTAATTAAAATTTATCCATGTATTATGAAGCAATAATAGATTTGGGTGATAAAGAATTGAATCCCAATGATCCTAAAAGCATTGAGAATCTGTTATTTAATTAAGATTTTAAATGTAAATTTATCCAATCAAATATCATAGTTGAACTTAAAGAAATAAAATTAATTGATTTGCCAATAGGAACATTTATAACATTGTGGATTCGTAATTAGAGAGATATTTTGGTCGAATTTAGTAAGATTTAAAAAAATGATATCTTACCAAGGTATATAATATTATTATTGTAGAGGATATATCCAGAAAAAGTGATATATTATCAAGTAAAAAATATACAAAATAATATGATAATTTATATATTAAATGAGTAGATTCATAATAGAATTAGATCTTAATCTTTAGGATGTTTTACTTAAGATTCTTCATCAATTTTAGAACAAAATTTGGTTTTGAAAAAATAAAAATTTTAATAAGAAGAGATTCAGATCTTTTGATTTTACAATTTGAAGGGAATGAAGAAAAAAATAGATTAAAAAGTTTCTGTTACATTAGATAATGTTTATTGTGATATTTGATTATTTTCTGTTTTGAAAAATTAGTTTATACTTGATTAATAGGGATTAAAGGATTGTCACTGAGAGAATAATATTTACTTAAGATGAAATTATTAAATTTTATAAATAAGATCAATGAATTCTGATGCTTTCGTATTGAAGATTTACAATAACATCATCAGGTACGTGTATTAATTTAATTAGTTTTAGATGCATAATAAACATTAAATGATTAATATATATAACTATTATTATCAATTATGCATTTTAACAATTAAATATGGGCCATTTTGTGGAAAAATATGAAGATGACCAATATGAAAGAATTAGGCAAAGAATTCTTCATACCATTTATAACGATATTCGTGTTATTAATGGTGTAGGAAGGTGATGAAGGTACAGGAAAGTTGTTCATGGCAATTATGGTGCCTGTTTACATTCCATCTTGTTTTGTAGGTTTATGTAGATAATTGTTAGTGGAATATGTACATGAGAAGACAAATAAATATAGAGATCTATATAAAGTATATTGTATTTGTTAAAATTAGATAATGGGGATGAAATTGTAAAATTATAGGATAGCTTGGTTTATTACATATATAATAAAAAGTATACTCATTGGCTCATTTATACTTATAACATTGCTATATAAATTAAATTTCTAATAATCCTTTTAGATGATAGTATGTTTTATGTTATTTATTTTTGCTTAAGTTGGATAGACTTTATTATTATCCACTTTTTTTAGCAATTCTTAATTGGCAGGAGAATTTGGGTCATTCTTTTAAACAATCCTATCTACATTTTATTTTGCATCCTTATACTAATTGGAATATTTAGTATATGTGTGTCCATAATCAATTATTTCATTTTATCTGATGAATAAACTAAATGGTAGCAATATAGAAAGTGTTTCAAATTATTGCATTTTAAGTTTATCAATTCATCTAGTAGCATATTATTTTTTGTTTAATGTTTTGGAAGAACAATGTATGAAAGGTGGGAGATGTTTATGGACAAAAAAGAATAAGACAGGATATGTCTAATTAGAAGATTAAATGGAGGTAATAAGTAGAATATATAAAGATGAGAAGATAATATGATGAAGAGGGTTTAGCATTTACATCAGTTGAAATTGTGAAATTATTTAAGTAATATAGTGATATTGTGGCAGTTGATAATTTGAATCTAAAAATATATTCTCAATAAATTCTTTGTATTTTGGGATAGAATGGAGCTGGCAAAACTACTACTCTTAATATATTGACAGGATTAATTGAAAAAACTAGTGGTAAGATATTATATTTTGGAAAAAGTTTTGATAAAAAAAGAGATGAAATTCAAAAACTAATTGGTTTTTGTCCATAAGAGAATTTATTATATGATTAATTAACAGTATCAGAATCATTGCAATATTAAAGTATGATGAGAGGAACAGATTCAAATTCAGAAATTGATATGTGGTTGAATTTAATGTAATTACAATAATATTCAAATTATAAAACTCATGAATTAAGTGGTGGAAATAAACGTAAATTATAAATTGCCTTAGCTTTGGTTGGAGGATCTTAAATCATATTTCTTGATGAACCAACAGCCAGTATTGATCCTGAATCTAGAAGATAAATATGGAAAATATTGAAGGAAATTAAATAAATTAATAAAACTCTTATTTTGACTACTCATTTTTTAGATGAGGCTGAAGAATTAGCTGATCGTATTGCAATTATGAAATAAGGATAAATCAAAATATATGGATCTCCTGATAATATAAAAAAAGAATTGGAAGTAGGATTTACATTGACATTTGGAAATATTTAATCATCTTAATAATAATCAAAAATAAAATTATTATTTCCTGAATTAGAATGTTCTATTGGATCAAAATTAGAATATGACAACATTAAATATATTCTTAATTAAAATTAACTATTTTCTATTGTTGAAAAGTTAAATGAATTAAATAAAACAGAAAATATTAAAATCTAATTGATTTAGAATACTTTAGAAGCAGCATATCTAAAATTAAACAAAGACAATTTAGAGGATGATAAAATAATTAAGGAGTACTCATTTCCTATCAAATCTACTAATGATGTAAAAACTAAATAATTACTTTAAATATCTGCTTTATTATATAAAAAATATTATGTTCTCAAAAGAAATTTCACTTTATAATTAATGTTAATATTACCTATGCTAATTTTATTAATTGCTTATATTTTTGGATATCATTTATTATAAGATGAAGCCTAAACCTAATTTTTTGTATCCTTATTTATATCACAATCATTCAGTCTTAATTCATCAATATTTATAAGCACTCCAATTCTTGAAAGAGAACTTAAAATCAGATAATAATTAAAATAAATGGGAATGTCTTAATTTACTTACATTTTTGGTACATTTATTGGAGATTATTTCATTATATTAATTGTAACTACATTCATCTATGTATTATCACTTTAAATTGAAATGCTCTAAACATCAGAATAATTACTAATTATATTAAGTTTATTTGGATTATCAGTAATTTCATTCTCTTATGCATCATCTTTTATGTTTAGTTCTAATTAAAGTGCTTTTAAAATATTCCCAGTTATCAATTTTTTATTTTGTTATTTTCTACCTTCTATGATTGATCTTTAACTTTAAAATCAATATAGTGAAATATTTACACTCATATTTCCACTTTATACTTTGAATTTAGCATTAAAGGATGAGATTCAAGATTATTCTATTTATTTTGTGGTCTAATTCATCATTTATATGTTTTTATATTATACTCTAGAAAAAAATATAATATTATTTGAAAATAGAAAGAATTTATTAGATAAGAATAATAAATTATAAGTTTAGAATATACAATTTGGATATACTTCAAATAAATAAGTACTTAAGTAAATTGATCTTTAATTATCTCCATAAAAGATATTGACACTTCTAGGTCCAAATGGTGCTGGTAAAACTACACTTATTCAATTAATTACTGATTGTCTTAAAGCTAAATGGGGAAGTATTATGTACAATGAAAATATGATAATTTCATCTTGTTAATAATCTGAAGGTTTATGGGAAGATTTAACTGCTGAAGAAATCTTATATTTGTTTGCAAGAATCAAAGGAAGTATAAGGAATGTGAAAAATGAAATTTCTTAGATTTTAAGGATTTTATAAATCAAAGGAAAAATAGTGAATATGTCTGGTGGTCAAAGGAGAAAGGTTGCTTTGGCTATAAGTCTCATTGGAGATAGTGGTATGATTATTCTTGATGAGCCATCTAATGGACTTGATCCTATTTCAAGAAGAAATTTACAAAATATGATCAAAGCTCATGTCTAAAAAAGAAATAGTTCTATCATACTAACTACACATGATATGGATGAAGCATAATATTTAAGTGATAGTATAAGTTTTATCATTAATGGACAATAACCATTCCCATAATAGAGTGTTAATCAATTAATTGAATAATATGGGAGTGGAATCATACTAACTATTAGAGCTAAAAATAAAGAGGCTTTGGATTAAGTAATTTTGGCTTTTCCAAAACATTAAAAAGAAGGTTTATTGATTGTAATCAAATTGGGTAATGAATATGATGTTGCTACAACAATTAAGATTCTTAAGAATTTATGTTAAGAAGATTTGATTGGATCATTTACTATTAGATAAGCTAATTTAGAATAAGTATTTTTGAGACAATGCCGAAAATAATATGATGAAGATTGAATATGTTATTTATGTAAAATTATTTTTTTAATTTTTAATATATGTTGATATGTGATTTTTTAGTTTGATACAAAATCAGCCAAATATATTGAAATAATAATCTAAATAGAATTTGAAACTGAAATTAAACTATTAAACTAATAATGTTTTTGAACCTTCGATTCATAGTTTTTAAAGTAATCTAAATTTGAAAATGATAAGGTTGAACATTAGTAAATTAATAATTATAGCTTATGCGTAATGTTATTAGATTTAATACTCCAAAAGAGAATGAATATAAGCAATACTTTTTATCTCCATCTATAAATGGAAATTAGCTTATATTAAATGTACTGCAGAAGACATTGCAAAAAAATATAAAACTTCATTATTACCATAACCTTTAAGATATTTATTGATTATTATAGAATATGACAATAACAGATAAATATTCATTAATTAAGATAATCAAATGTGCCTTTTACATATCCTAATTTTGATGAATTATATCCTTATCAATTTTAGTACATTTAATACCATTTTCTCAACCTCGTCTATTAATGAAATCAGCGTATGAATTTAGAATTCTCTCTTTTAACTTACTGAAGAATACATTAAAAATAATAAAAAATTCAATTAATCCTAAATGAATTCAATTAAACACTCAACTAATTATAGACATCCATTTACATTTAATTAATGGTCCTCCTGGAACTAGTAAAACAAATATAACTATGGGGATTATGAATATTTTTATACAAAAAATGAATTAACTTAAAGAGGAAAGTAAAATAAATAATAGGTTGTTGACATTCAAATACAGTTATAAATGATTTGGTTAGAAAATTAATAAGGAATTCTCTAAAGCAAAAGTAATAAGCTTAAGTATTGCTGAAACATCAGATTCTGATATTTAAGATTATTGTTTAGAAATCAAAACATATAGATAATTCTTAATCAAATTTACTGCAAAATATGAAAAAAAAATCTATTTATGAATTAATAAAGCCTAATAAATAAATGTTCATTAATTGACTCTGATTCATATAATAATAAAAAATATCTTAATTAAATGAAAAGATTTATGATCTTAAAAAATTTTATGATAATTAAGATCATTAATAAAAATTTTTTGTTGAAATCGATTTATATAGATTGGAATCATAAAAAAAGATCTAAAAGATTCTACTCTACACTTATCTATATTCTAGAAAAATAAATCTATAGAGAAATTATGTTAAATAATCTTTAAAGTATTTAAATTGTTATTTCTACTATAGCAAGTTGTGCTTCATCCTTGATTGAATAATATATGGAAGATAAATATGTGTCCTTGTGTATTATTGTTGAAGCTCGTATTTGTTTTGAATCTTCAACATTAATACAACTCTCTAAGCATAAAATCAACAAATTAGTACTCATTGGAGATCATTGCCAACAATGACCAGTTATCTATAATAATACTAATGCTTTTGAATACAATTATAATAGTAGTCTCTATGAAAGACTTCTACAAACAACTTCATAATTCATTAAGTATAGATCAATGCAAAATCTTAATTTAGTCAATTCTAAATTTTTGTATGAAGGAAAATGATTGGATTCAGAATCTGTAAGTAAAATGCAATTTCCATAAAATTTTCCAAACAAATCAAATAATTCAAATAATTTTTGATTTTTTGATGTTCATTGTGGCACATAATTTAATATTAACAATTCATTATTTAATGAATATGACGCTTATAGATTATTCTATTTGGTATATTTCTTTTTATAAGATTATGATAATCACAATGAAAGATTAATTTCAATTGAAATTCCTTATCGAGCTTAAGTTAAATTAACTAAAAAATATCTTTATAAATTCAATGCAAAACTTATAGATTATGTTGAATTTGTTACCAAAGATGCTTTTTAGGACAAATAAAGTGATATCATGATTATTTCACTCATTAGAAGTGAAGGACTTGGATTTTTAACAGACTATAGGAGAGAAAAAATATTGCTACTTCAAGGACTCAATTTGGATAATTCATAATTGGAAATTCCAATGGTTTATTGAATGAATAAATGTTATGGAGTCCTTTATATTAATATTTATATTAAAGATGGTAAATTAAAAGTTTTGGAAACATAAATATTTGATCCAAATTTTTTCCAAAAAATTTTAAATTAATGATTATACATATATATATATAACTTAACATCCTATTATTATTTTTAATGTAATAATATTTGATAAATTTAGCCTTTAGTCCATAAAAACATGAAAATTTAATATTACTATTAAATTATAAAAACTTTAATATATATTAGAATATTGTTCTTTTCAAATATTTTTAGCGAGAAAATACCATATAATAATAATAATCAGATAATCAGCTTTTTTTTAGCTGATTTTTGTATAAGACCACTAATGAATGAAGTGGTTTATTTTATAGTCCATTTATTTTGAGTTTTTATTGTTCTTTGAGAAATAAATCAGCATCTTATGGATTACTTTACATTTTACAATCCTTTATTTTTTAGTTATTCAGTAAGTAGTTTTAGAGATTATGAATCAACTTAGATTTGAAGTACATTTGTTATTCATTACTTTGTAGTTGCTTTAGTTATTGCATTTTTATTATTTATTTATATTATCAATAATTTAAGATAAATTATGAATTATAAATACAAACAGATTAAAATATAACTGTGGCAAATAATTTTATTTTGCATCTTTTGTTTTCTAAATTAGTAATCTTTAGTCTCCATATCGAATTCATATATTACTTTATCAAACTATAAAAACTAATTGATAAATGAGCAAAACTTAAAAAATTATTATTTTACTAAGTTTTGATTAACTTGTATGTATTGTAATGGTTGACAATACAATATCTAAATCTAAAATATCTCCATAGTATTTGACAAATTAAAAACATTTTAATTTTCTAAAGTGTTTACTGCCACTATCAAAATTGTAACAAAGGTTTTATACTACTGTATTTGTTAAATACTTTTTAAAAAGTATGATAATCAAATACAATAAATAAAGAATTTGAAAATAATTTAAATTATAAATAGTTTTATCTAATAAATGGATCACTTCATCAGAATATTTGAAAAAGAATAATTTATATTTGATAGTGAATTCAATTAAGAATTTTAAGAGCAAAACTAATTAAACTGCCGATCATAATGATCTATAAAAACATAGTAAAATATTTATTAATTTCAGAATAATTTAGGTTCTATTTTATTTGTACTAGAACATTTTAGGAAATTCTAAAAAAATAAATTGTTCCAATATATAATTAAATTTATATTTAATAGTTAATAGTTAATACTTTAATTAACTATGCTTAAGTTAAAATAAGTTAAAATATTTGGTTATGAGAATACTTGTAAATTTAATATAAAATTTAACAGAAGATTGAATGTATCATAAATATTGAAAATATTTTACACAAATATTATATTTTTACAGTCACTTTCTTGTTTTATAATTTATATTGAATTTTTCAACCATTTTTTCAAGAAGAACATCTTTATCACTTTCAATAGTGTAAATAATGATTTAAAAAAAATTATATTTCATTATTATATTTGTATTTTATTGTAAGAAAAAAGTTAGAGTGAAGTTCAATTTTAAGGATTACTTTTTTTATGAAACAAGTCTTAAGATCAATTAAATTGATTATATAATTTGTTTGAGATTTGATATTATTGAAATGATTAAATATTTGGATTAATAATTATACTTTTGTATTAAATTGAAGTGTGTTCTTTATTTTAGGAATTGATTATTAAATAAATTGAGTGACAAATTATTTATATATTTATAAGAGTTTCTGAATTAAATGTACCTTAATGACCTTCATGTAAGCAATTACTAAATATAATCACCTGTTGGAGAACAGAGATTACTGTATCAAGAGGCATTTGGACAAATAAAATTAAAGCAAATTAATACACAGTCTAAGTTGAAAGACATATTATTGAAAGCTATTACTAAATTAAGAAAATATACAAAAATAAAGAATATATACTTACTTAGTAAACATTAATTGCTAGCATTTAATGATATATCTAGTTGTCATAATTAATTTGTGAAAAAAGAGAAGGAGACTTCCCAATTTGAAAAATAATATTACTAATACAAATAGTAGAATCTTAGTTTATAATTGATAGTAACAAATCTAATGAATATGGTTAGAATGTAAGGTTTAAGAAGTATAAAAGCAAGTCATCCTTTGTTAATATTTTGGAGCTTTTTAAAATTTTTATTAGTTTTACATTTATGCTTTATTTTTCCATTGTCAGATTCTTTTATCTTTTAATTAGATGAATTTATTTAGATTTAATAACCAATATTTTTTATAGAAATAGTTATATTAGCAATAGATATAATAATGAGATTAAATGTACAAATTTACAATAAGGGTACTGTGATTACATAAACAAGATAAATAATAGTATAATATTTTAAGAAAGAATTTCTAATAGATTTTGGAGGATTACTTGGATTGTTAGCATTCTTATTTTCTTAATTTACACCATTAAAATATTTATTTATACTAAAAATAAAGGAATTATCAAATTTTATGGAAGTATTTAAATATGAAATTGATCCAAAAGGTAAATTTAAGAGCCATTTAAAATTAATGACATTATTAATAACTGTTGTATTATTGGCTCATTGTTTTGCTTGTGTTTGGATAGGAATTGGTTAACATTCAATGAATAATAATTGGATAGTCTAAAGAGATTTACATAATTCTCATTGGTTAGAGATATATTTGAATGGATTGTATTTTGCAATTACTACAATGACAACAGTTGGATATGGAGATATTACACCAATAAATCCATATGAGGTTTCTGTTAGTATTTGTTTAACTTTATTCTCTTCATGTATATTTGCTTATGTTTTTAATACAATAACTTCAATTTTAAAAGATCTAGATGCAAATAAAAGCAAAATCAAACATGATCTAGAAATCTTAAGTTTGTATATGAAGAAACGAAATATAGATTCAGATTTGTAAAAGAGAGTTGAGAAGTACTAAATTAAACATAATTAGCAGTTATCTTAGATTAGTTTATAAACATTAACCTTCAATTTAAGAGAAAAAGATTTTCAATAAATTAAGTCCTTAATTAAGATAAGAATTAAATGAATAGGATAAAGGTGTTATGTTATTGAAACAACCTGCTTTAGTAAACAATTTTTCATTGAAATTCTTGAGAGATCTAATTGAAAGTATTTAAGAAATAAATTTGACTCCAAATGAATAATTACCTAATGATTAAGGTTTGAATATACTTTAAAAGGGAGAACTTAAATTGTTTTTTGGTGATAATTAAACATTAGTAGGATATTTAAAACCAGGTGATGGAATTGGTGTAAAATCTTTATTTAATGGAAATAATTAAAATACTAGATTAAGTTGTAAAAGTGAAGGTTTTTCATAAGTTTATTGGATTTCTTAAAATGAATTTTTTAAGAAATTAAAAGATACAGATTTAGATTAATATTATTAAATTAAAGATAAGATTATGTAGAATAATCATGATAATTTATATGAAAAATGTTTATTATGTAGAAAATTTGGACATGAGATTTGTGAAGACATTTATTTTAATTTAAATAAAGAATTAATTTTAGCTAAATATAGACATTCTGTAAATCATGAAAGGAAAATTGGATTTATTAGAAAAAGAAAAAATAAATACAGAGTCTTTTAGTCTTTAGATATTAAAAGATAGTGTGCAACATAATGTTATTAAAAGTCTATGAAAAATATGAAGATGTCTGAAAGATTTAAGGAAGTAGATGATGAAATATCTGATAGTTAAAAAAGCGATGTAAAAGTATAATAATAAACAAGAGTCATATGATGAATTAGAAGAATAAAGGCATTTTCTTGATGAATAGAAGGATAATATAACAGTATATATTGAAAGAGAGAATTCTATAAAAGAGTAAAATAAAGAAGATAGAAAGATTGTAAGAAATAAAGCTAAAGGTCCATCATTAGTGAGAATGTTGTAAAATTTTTCATCTTTAAAAGTGTGGCAAGATGATTTATTTATTCTAGCTGATTTTGATAAGATGAAATGTTTTCGGATGTACTATCCAACACATAATTTTGATCAAGTTATTAAGTATTATAATTAAAAGAGAAAAAAAATTAATAAAACTCTATTAAAAGTTTTATAGAAATGATGTGATATTATTAAGATTAAAAAAATTATTTATGTTTATTTCAATTAAATTTTAATTTTAAATATGTTCAATAATTGGAGTGATATATATATATATCATATATTTGCTAATTAATTTTTATTAATAATTTTCATCCGTTAATAATTTAATGTATTCATCCATTCGAGAATCCCCTTAAAGACATGACACAAGGTCTTTTGTTTAAGAAATTGAGTTCTTAAAAGCTAAGTGTCTAGAATTAGAAACAGAGAATAGACTGTTGTTTGAAGAATAATAATAATTATAAAGAAGAGCCCATGACATAGTAACGAATGATTCTAATGTTGAATCCTACATAAAAGAAAATAATATGTTATAGACTGAAAATGAGAAACTTATAAAATTATCTAGATAAAGAAAAACTGATGCTGATTTATGGAAATCTAAATATGAAAATTAATTGTAATAGATTTTATAAATGAAATCTAATTATGAATTTGAAATAAAACAATTAAATGCTGAATTATAAAAATTAGGAGCTGTTTTATCACAAGCAGAAGCAGAAAGATAAAGATAATTAGTTGGTATATCTGGTTAAATTGAGAGTTAATCTAATTAAGATTTTGAGAATCTTAAGAAGGCTACTAATTTATAAATAGAAATAAGTGAAAGTTAAATAAGAAAATTAAGAGATCATATTGATGAATAAAATAATGAAATTAGTGATCTTTAATAAAAAATATTAAGATAAAAAACTGAAGATGATATATAAATAGAAAGATTACTTAAAGAAAATGAATTACTTAGAGTTAAAATTCATTAATAAGAATCAGAAAAATAAAGAGAATTAGAACATATGAATGATAATCTAAATAATTTCTCATAATAATAGATTTAATTATTGAAACATGAATTTGCTAGATAATCAGATGTTTAATAATGTGAAATAGATAAACTTAAAGGTTTACTTGAAATTAAGAATGCTGAAATAGAAACATTACTTGGATAAAATGCTAAAAATAAATAAATGTTTGAAGATTAAATTAATGATTTAAGAACTGAAATTTAAATTTAAAAATAGAAATTACTTGATTAAGAAAGGTAATCAAGAATGATTCTTGAAACATCTCTTAAAGATTAATAAAATTAACATTAAAGAGATTAAGAGACATTAAAATCTTATTATTAAACATAAATTAATAATCTAGAAAAAGAAATCAATGATTTAAAGGGAATTATTGAACATAAAAATCAATAAATATAAATCTAAATTGAAGAAAAAAATATATAAAGATAATAATTAGAATAATTAATTATTGATTTAAGAAGAGAAATTGAAAATCAAAAATTAATTACATTTGAATAAGAAAAATAAAAAAATAATGAAATTAATGAATTAGATGATTAATTCTAAAAATCTACATCTCTTTTAAATGAAAATATTGATTAATAAAAATTACAAATCTTATTTTTGGAAGGTGAAATTGAAAGACTTAAAGAAATGTTATCACAAAAAACTAAAGATTAAGAATCATTAATAGCCTAATTTAATTTACATAAGAGATAATTAGAGGATGATATCAGAAGATTGAAAGATGAAATTCATTCTTTAAAATAAGAAATATTATCTATTACAAGTTCCAAAAATTAAGAAATTTAAGATCTATAATCAAAAAATGATAGAGTTACAATTCAATATCGAGAAAAACTTAGATAAAGCGATATCTCTTCAGAACAATAATTATTAGAAATTAAAAGATTAAGAGAAACTCTATCTGTTAAAGAATAAGAAAATGAAAATCTAGCCAATCAAAGAAATCTATTAGATAAAGATTTAAAGAGAGCAAGAGATGAAATTGAATAATTTAAATAGAGATAGTTAGCTTTAGAAAGAGAAAAGGTATTAACCATTATTTATTTTAGTTTACTTAATTGGAAGATTTGAAAAATAAATTGGAAGCATCTAATTCTTATTAAATTAGTAATTTGAAAGCTGCTTATAATACATAAATCAGTGTATTGACTGAAGAAAATGTTCATCTAAAATAACAAATAGATTAGAGAAGAATGTATGATTCCTCTGTTAGAATGTGACTTTATTATATATATTATAAGATTTTTAAATAATATTTACCAAAAATAATTATCAACATAAACGACCAAATTAAATAGATGAAAGAGGATTATAATATACATCTTTTATTGATTGAATTGGTAATACAACCAATCCAAAAGCAATTACAAATAATAAAACCTAAATTATAATTGATTCTCTTTTATATTTCTTAACTATCCTTTTTAACACTCCTGCAACCAAATAACTTCCACAACCAGATACACTCTAATTAAATTTATAAATTTATTACTGCCAAAATTAAAAATTAAGATAGATGATACCCTCCAGATAAAGCTATAATAAACACAGATATAAATGAAGTGAACATCACTGTAAAAGTAGCAGATGCAGCAGCTCTAGCAGGATTAATTCCTGTTTCCAACCATACAGGTGTTAATACTACACCTCCTCCTAAACCAACCAACCCACCTAAAAAACCTGCTTTCATACTTGATTTTACAGTAATTTCATATACTTAACTTATTTTTCCCCCAGAGAAGTCATATCCAAGAGACTCTTTCAGAATCTCATCTTTCTTAATTTATTACCTGTATCTTTAAACATTATAAAATCCTATAACAAAAATCATGAAATTGATGAGATGATATTCATATCCACAGTAATCAATACCAAGTATTGACGGAATAGTGGCAGCACCTTTAAGTAAAGTTAATGTAACCACTATAATCACTGAAAGAGCTATTTCTTTAAGGTTATCAGTAGGATATAGCTTAGATTCATTTTACTTTAACTATTATAAATCTTATGGCAATGTACTATAATCAGTAAAAATTATTTCTTTCATTTCAACTTAAACAAGAAAGTCATTTCTTTCTTTATCCCTAATTTTTTTATAAACACTTTTAGTTTTTAGAAATACATTTAATAAAATGGCAAATAAAAATATCACTATAACTAATTTTGGTAACCATTTCCCACTTGCCACTCCAAAAATAGCTCCTGCTAAAAGTAATGGAAGTGTTATCTATACAAGTTAATAATTAATTAAAGGACTACTACCATCTGAAATCTTATTTTAACAATAAAATTGATATTTACTTTTTCTCTTCCTAATCTTGCAAAATTACCTATACTTCCTCCAAATAACATAATATAGGTATTCCAAATAGCTTACTTACTTGAACATCCAAATAAAACCATCATCACAGGTGATACTATTGGACCTCCTCCTATTCCACCAGCTTAAGCTAATCCAACTAATGATCCCAAAATTGCATATGAGATCCATGTAAATGGTTCAGATAATGATGGTAATTCCTACTCCATAAATAAATAATATTCTTTTAATGTAAATTTTACTTGAATCTAATTCAATTAAAAAAAAGCATAATATAAGTATATAATTAATTACAATTTGTTATAATCAACAAATTTTACAAAAATTGAATACAATATATTTATAATTAAATAAATATATAATAAAATTAATCAAATGGGTTTCAAATCTATGGTGTCCATAAAAACTTTAATTTATTTTAAAGCTGATTAATAATTATTTTGATCCTCTTCCATTTAAGAAACCATTCCTCTTAATCTGTAGACTTCTTGAATAAGTACTTTCTTGTGTCCCAATAATTTATCTTTTTCATCTTAGAGTAATACTCTATCCTATTCCATTTAGCTTATCTAAATTAGAAATAAAAATTACTATTTTAGTGTATTCAGAATTTAATTCAGATAAATTTTCTTTAACATCTTGTCTTTATAATTCAGAAATTGAAAGTTGGTTTTGAAGTATATTAATTTTGGATTGCAATTTCATATTGACTGATTTTTCATACTTCAATGTATCTGAGGAATCAGTTATCAAATCCTCAATATTTTGTATTTAAGCTTAAGATTATTGCAATTTTGTTGTTAAAAATTCTTTCACAGATTTTAAAGCCTGTAATTGAGCCAAAGCATCTTCTTCTGAATCAAAAACACTATTATTATTTTCAGACTAATTTCCACTCGACCCAATTTCTTATTTTTCTTACTTTAGTATTTGTTATTGTTATTTGTTTCCTCCAACAATATGTTATGCGTTTCTACTTAAAGTTAATAGTTTAAATCCCAAAGGAGAGAACATTATTTTTCTCATAGTAGAACAAGTAGCCGTAAATCTGTATAGATCTTGATCATCTAAAAATCCACAAATCCTTTGAATTAATATCACCTTTTAGTTTATTAATTTATTTACTTTAGGTAGTCTTAGCAATAAAGAATTTTGATTATGTTTAATCTAGACTTCTTTGTGTTTTTGACTTATCTCTAACTCATCTAATTATGCAATTATTTTATCGAGTTTGTCCATAAATAAATAATATTATAATATCACTATCCTTCTGCTCCTCCAGATTTCGATTTTGTTACTGTTTCAAATTGTAAATCTGAATTAGCTTTGATTTCTTTATGGTTTTTAAGATGAGCAAAATAAAAAGCTGTTTATGAAAACTCACTTTAATTGATACTGGCTAACATATTACCCAAGGCACAATATGTAGAAACATCCAATGTTTTCATATCTTGTCCTTTCTTAATAATCTCATCAAATGCAAAGAATGCTCTCTCATCCATATTATTTGTGCATTCTAGTAATTCAATACTTACATCCATTGGTCGATTTGGATCATGAATTTTATCAGTAAAAAATATACTTACAGAAGTGATCAACATTCCTCCAATTAGATATCTTAAGCATACTCTAAATTATGTGAATCTTATTTGTCTCTAAAAAGAGCTTTCATATTTAGCTTAATGTTATTGTATTTTCAAAGACATTTTTTCTTCGAATTCATCAATGAATTTTAATTTTTCGTTATAGAACAATTTCCAAATATTTTTCACCGATTAATAGGCTTTCTTAATCATAAAATGTTGTATAATAATTTTATGATTATTAGTCAAATAACCAATAATGATGAATTGCAAGAGCCATTAGAGACAAATATGAATAAAAGCTCAAAGGTTTTATTATGGGGAAGAAGATGTTAGAGACTAAGTTTTGGTATTGAGAATCCAATTTGGAAATTCAAGGCTTTTAAGATTATTATTTTGGTTTCTAGATTTTTGTTTCTAGTAACACAACAAATATTAAGAAAAGACTTAAAAAATATTTCAAAATCTGAATTCAACTTAATTCATGATTCCTCCTCAGATTATAATTTTTTTAAGTATCGAGGTTACCTTCCAAAAGATAAACCATCTTATTTATTAATGAAAATTCATTTATGGTTCTCTTGCATTATATGTAATATTTCTAACTATTAAAGAATAACAAAATACATTTTTACAAAACAATCATAAAAAATGGCTTTTGAAACCAGATGATACAATTATGATAGTATGGAATGTGTCAATGATTGTAATTGTTACAATTAATGTATTTTATGTATCATTAAGAATATCATTTCCTGAAATCAGAGAATTGTATTTGATTGGTAAGGAATTGATCTTTGAACAAATCCCAGTATTTATTTTTTTCCTTGACATTTTATTGAAATTCAATACTTGTATATATTTTAGAGGTAATCTTATTTCAAATAGGATAAAGATTATTAAACATTATTGTGCAGAAGGTAATTTTTTGTATTTTTAAATAGGTTTAATAATTGATTTATTGTTGGTAGTGCCTTTTTTTATTGGTTAATTACTAAATTTTAGTCATTTAGACTTTGTAATTGTTTTGAAAGTGTTTTAACTTTCAGGTTTATTTTCTTCATTATTTAATCGATTAGAATTGACTTCAAGACAAACAGCAATTTTTGATTTATTTAAAATGATGTAAAAGTAAATTGATATTCTAGTTCATTTATGATTTTAGTAGCTCATTTTTCTGCATGTATCTGGCATATTCTTGGATAATGGGGATAATGGGGTCATGAAGATGGAAAGACATGGATCAAAGTAATTAATATATAACATGAATCATGGTTAGACAGATATGTTGTTTCTTTTTATTGGAGTATTGTAACTATGACTACTATTGGATATGGAGATATCACACCTGTAAATTTGACAGAAAGAATATTTGTAATTTTTATGACTATGATTTCTTCTGCAACATTTGCTTATACAGTCAATAATATTGGAGGTATTTTTTAAGATTTCTCCAAATAATCTGTTCAACTAAAAAATAATATGAACGAATTAAACAGATTTCTAAGAAGTTAAAATGTTTCAGATGATTTACAAATTAAATTCAGAAGATATTTTGAATATTTATGGAGCAAACCTTCTTAAAAGGTTATATAATTTGCTGATTTAATACCAAGAAGTTTAAAGGATTAAATGATTGTCGATGTAAATATAAAGATAATAAATCAAATAAGTTTTTTCTAACATTTTAGTTAACCACTTTTAAATAAATTATGTATGAATTTAGAAGAGAAATAAATTTAGTCAAATGATTATCTTTTTACAAGAAATAAGCAATCATAATATTTATACATACTTGTTTCTGGAGAAATTAAGTTATAGATCTAATTAAGAGATAAGATTAAGCAACTGTAAAATATAGATGTACCTTCTTTTATTGGGTAATTAGATTTCTTTTACAATTAACCTTATTCTTATGATGCTATTGCATCTAAAACAACTAAAATTCTTCATATTTCTAGAGAATCACTTCACAACATTTATAAAGATTTTCCCTTAGATTATGTATAATTTATTTTACAATATTTTTTAGGAAAAGTTCAAATAAATTTCAGAAGACATTGTTCAAAAAAAATAATTATTACATATATCAGTAACTTGTAATACATGTTAAAGTAATACCCATTTTATCAATTCATGTCCTTTTCTTTTTGGGACACCAAATAAAGCAAAAGCTATCTATAACTATAGAAAATTTACTCCAAGTGATAGAAAGTCTTTTTTCTAAAGGCATAATCATTCAAGAAAAATGTATGCTTTGAAACATCAGTTTATTGTTTTAGAAAGCATCTTGAACTACATGATGAAGAATGAAGAATTTATTCATATTGAAGGTTTTAAAGAATTACAAATGTAAACTTAGCAAATTTAAAACAATTAATTTACTTTCAATTAAATACCTATAGGACTCTCAGTTCATCACTCAAATAATTCTGTTCTACCTCCACTTCTAATTAACTCTTCAAGTAAACAATCTTAATCTTAAAGAGTATTATAATCTGTTGGAAATTTATTGCCTCCTTAAATTGATGACTCTCCTAGAACTTTTCGTAATAATTAAATTATAAACACTACAAACTTAAGAAATTATCATAAACTTTCAATAAATCATGGTTCTTAAACAGAATTACCAAAAATTGAAGATGAAGTTCCGACGATTGGTAAGTAATAAAAAAGAAATGATATAGAATCATTATGTGTAATAAATGATAATTAATAATAATAATAATAATAATAATAATAATAATAATAATAATAATAATAATAATAATAATAATAATAATATAAATAATTAAACCAATAAAATTTTTAATAATAATAGTAACATTAATAACATTAATTATTACCTTAAATTTAAATAAACTAAATAGGACTCAGAAGAAAATCTGTTAGATTAAAATTAGAAGAAAGTTCAGAAGATGAAAATGATGATTCAGATAAAATTATGGGATAATATATAGATATATTTTAGTAATTCGAAAGAATGTACGAATTCATTAACTATTATCCTCATAATAATATTTCGATTGTAATTAACAAAGTATGATATTACAATATCTTGTATTCATAGTATCAAGAGAGAATATTTGGTTTCTAGAGGCAAATAAAAAAAAGAAAAAGTAGAAGATAAGAAACATTATTACATTTACTTAAACAGGCATAAGGCAAATAAAGATTATGAATATTTATATAATCTCAATCTAACCATTTTAGCCGCTTTCCTTAGTTCCATTAACCTTTTTTATTAATTTATCCATTAAAATATTCTCCAATACCATGTTATTTTCCCAACTCCCATTATCCTGAATATTTTCTGCCATCAGCTACCTTACATTAAATATAAACAAATTACGCCATTCTAAAATTCCTTATCCATGCTTTTTGTCATTACTATATTATCCTTCATATTTTCTTCCATCAGGCCATTTCATTGTTCCATTTCCATCCATACTTCCATTTAACCATTAACCTTCATATTATCTCCCATCAGTCCATATATATTTCCTGATTCATAATACTGAATTTATACCCATATCCACTAAAATAATTAGATTAAAAATTTCCTTCATAACTCTGACCATCTACCCATATATAATGGCCAAATCCATTCTTCTTACCATTTTTAAACTACCCTGTATATTTAGATCCATCAGTAAATTATTCATATCCATAACCATCCTAAAAATCATACTTCCATTCTCCTTGATAGATGGTACCATCATTATGCACATATTTTCCGTTTCCATGTTCTAAAAATTAACAGTAATCTAACTTAAATCATCAACCCAATCGCCTTCATACCAGTCTCCATCAGTGTAGATCATTCGTCCTTTACCATTAGCTTTGTCTTTTCTCCATTGCCCTTAAAATATTGACCCATCCTGATAAATTAAGCATCCTAGAGAGATAGGAATTGTGTTCAAGTACCATATCCAAATTTTTCGCCGTGATGCCAACAACCCCTATATAATGAACCATCTTTTTATTCATAGACTCCATAAAAATATCCTTCTTCATCATCTATTTCATATGTGCCCAATTCATCCATAAGTTTCTAATATTTTATATTTCGAAAAACTTACTTAAACTATGAGATTATAAGTAGTAAACTATGTTTATGTTTACCACACTATTTATGGATTAGGACGATGAGTATCATCAGATGTTTCATTATTAGACTTTATGGTCTCTTATTGTAATATTTGTTGAGCTTAGCAAAACTGCAATTGCTAGTCTTCAAAACTAGTAACATTCTCTAATTTGAATTCGAGAGGCTGCATTTCTTCTGTCTTTTGGATGTCTGCTGATTAACACTGGCAATTCCCCATTCGATATTAAAAATAATGTATTATTCTGAGAATTAAAAATATATCAAATTGAATTAAAGTATACAAATTCATCTGTGTTATCTAAACATAAGCATTTTTTTGTATTATTCCATTTTTTTCATTTGTAAATAATTATTTGTAATATAAAAAGGTTTTTAATCTAGTTTCTTCTGATCTGGGCTTTAGGACATTTAATGTCTTTTATTTTTATTGTTTATCATAGGCAAAGGTGACCTGGTCATTTCATAGGTACAACTTTGGTTTAGTATTTGTGATACTAATTTCTCTTTTTGAGAACTTGGAACTTAATCATGGAGATTATTTGGTAAATGTTCAGGAAATTCATTGTTACTCTAACAATAAACTAAAAGCAATACTAATTTTTTAATCTCTAAAATCTATTCATTGTTAAACTCTGCCATTTGAGTAACTTTAGTTGATGGAGGGATAAAAATTGCAGCTTCTCTATTCTCAGTTCCAAAACACTTCACTTCTTTCAGGAATACTGTTTTTCTAATTTTATCTATAGCATAAACAGATCCTTCATATCTTATATTTTATTTGGTCAATATCGAAACTCTATTTTATTTCATTTAATTAAATATATTGTAAATTTTTATTCTATCTTAAACCAATCATTTACCTTAATAAAATTATAAATAATCTAATATACATGAACTTTAGAATTCTTTTCGAATAATAAAGACTTCCAAATTCACATAACTCATTTATTTTAGATAAAGGATTTATAAAATCAACTTATTTTATTTTCATGAATTTTAGCAAAGATGGTAATTTTCAAAATTAAGAGTGTATTAAAAATGTCTCGATGCTCTTACATATTTGAAAAAACTATTTTTGAATATTTTGGTTGTTTGGAACAAATTTGAAAACAAAAGAAACATTAAAAAAGATGGACAAAATTTGAATAGGAATATCTGTGAGAATTATATTACTCGGAAAATAAGGAGGACACAAAAGATAATTTAAGAATATTATGAAAATGTCGAAACTCATAAACAAACTTTTATTTATTTTATTAGTGTAAAAGTTCTAAATTTTTTAGTATCATTCATGCATCTCAATTATCATATGTCATACAATTGTGATAAATTGTAATAAATAGATTAATAGATAATCATGATTGTTTAAATATATAAATCCTGGTTAAGAATAAGATACTAGGTAGTTTTATTGTATCAATTAATTTGATGATATTCAATATCTATAAGCAGGGTAGGTTTGTTTGGTTATGTAAGAACTAATCATTTAATAAGGGATGGAATAATTTTTATATATATTTAAAATTAGATAAAATATTTAATTTATGGATTCTGATTTGCAAAATCTCATAAAGAATTATGCTCCTTTATCTGATTTCTGTCCAGACCCAAATTATTAATTTGAAGAGTTTAAGGATAGATTATTCCAGCCATTCAGCAGATAAGAAAAAATAAGTAGATGTTGTGATTTTTCAAAATAAACATAAGTGTAAAAGGATTTGGAAGATGAATATGAGACAGTAGGATAGAAAGTTGTCAAAAAGCCTGTGTAAAAAAAAATAGGCTTTGTCCCTTAATAATAATAATAAGTCGTTTATTAATCGTATTATTAAACTGGAAAGAAGAGTAAAATGTCTTAAGCTGCAAAAAGAGTTATGGTGTATAAGAAATGCAGATTTAAGGATTCAATTTCTATTAAAACTGATTGGATTAGTATTCATGAGACATAAAAGTAAAATATTGAAAAGGTCTAATATTCAATGATTGACATAAAAGAGATCTAAAGTATAGGAACTATAAAAAAATATAACAAAGAATTTGATAAAGTTAGACCAAATTATGAAAAAAAGATTTCTATTATAGGAGGAGAAGTCATATCAGGATCTGTGTAGGATGATAAATATTTTAAATAACTTATTGCAGAGAGATAAGGAACAGAAGAGATTCCAACTATCTATACAACTGATAAATTGTTATTTGCTGTTTAAACACTCAAATATTCAATTTATCCTTGGGATATTTTAGTAACTAAGAAAGGTAATTCTTATATCTTTGATAAATGTCCTTAAAATAGAAGTGAATTGACATATTTAGAATTACAAACAATAAATGAAAATATAACAGTTGATATGCCTGAAGATGAAAAGACAGTAAGAAATTATTGTGAGGAAAGTACAATAGCCTAATTGAGTTGGTAATTGTTAAGTACCTTAAATTAACCAGTGCTATTTTAAAATTCATTATAAAATGATGAAGAGGCTGAATAAAATGATTAGGCTGAAAAATATCTATTTTCTGATGATCTTTGTTTCAAATATTTAGAAGTTTCAGTAAAAGATAGAATAGATAAAGCTGCTAAAGGAGAAGATGTAAGAGCTGGATAAGAAAGATTTAAAGTTGTTGTTAGAACTACAGTTGAAGCTGAAAATAATGATGGACAACCTGTTTTAGTAAAATCATTGAATGAATGTGAAACACCTCCTGATTGGAAGAAATCATTATTATCTTAAGCTGGTATTACAACAAAGTAATTATTTTATATAAATAAATTAGTACTGCTTAAGTATATAATACAAATAATATTGCTAAATGGTTATGTTAAGCATAATTATTAGAATGTGAAGAAATAAAGGTTGGTTATTTGGCTAGATAAAATTAAAAGGATTAAGATAAACATTCTTTATTATTAGTAGAAACATTTACTTAAAGAGATTTGGCTGCGATTATTAATTTTAAATCTTATGAAATATGGTAAAGTGTAAGATATTTGGTTGATTATTTGAAAACTTAAGAAGATGGAGTTTATGTTTTATTAAAATAAGCTTATAAATAATCTGTTAGAATATTTAATGTTAGAGATAATGATGAATTGTAAGAAGAGGATGAAGATTCATTATGATATTATTTGGTATATTATTAAAGTAATAATAATAAATCTCTATAAATTATTGGATTGACAATGTGAAGTCAGAAATTTATATAAATATTATTCTCATAATTCAAAACATTTTTTTGATATTAAGGATGTAGAGAATACACACATTTTGAATTAAATTAAAAAAGATTTTAATTTTTTCTTTAAACATCTATGGTAAGATAATGAGTTCTATTTTTCTAGGCTAGAGGACCTAAAAAACACATGAAAAGAATTACAGCACCAAAAAGTTGGATGCTTTCAAAATTAGGTGGAAATTGGACAACAAGACCCTCATAAGGACCTCATAAGTTGAGAGAATCAATTCCATTGTCTATTATATTGCAACATAAATTGAAATATGCTCTTTATGCTAGAGATGTCTAAATGATTCTTGCTGATAAGGATGGCAATATTAAAGTTGATGGAAAAGTAAGATCTGACTTTGGATATCCAGTTGGATTAATGGGTATTAATTATTTTATAATTTGTAATCAGATGTCATTACAATTGACAAGACAAGAGAGAGTTTTAGAGTATTGTATGATGTTTCAGGAAAATTTATTTTAAAATCCATTAAACCAGATGAAGCTAAATTCAAGCTTGTTAAAGTAACTTAAAAGAAGGTTGGACCAAATAATGTTCCATACATTGTTACAAATGATGCCAGAACAATTAGATATCCAAATCCAGAAATTCATGTTAATGACACTCTTAAAATAGATTTAGAAACAGGAAAGATTGTTGATTTTATCAAAGAAGAACCAGGTAATAGAATGCAATTAATTATATAATAGGAAATGTGTGCTATATTATTGGAGGAAACAATATTGGAAGAGTTGGACTTATTCAACATAGAGAAAGACATCTTGGATCATTTGATATTGTTCATGTCAAAGTATTGATATAAATGTAAATATTTATTAGGATTCAAATGGAAAACACTTTTCAACAAGAATTAACAACATCTTCACTATTGGTAAAGGAAAGAAACCTTTAATTTCACTTCCAGATGATAATGGTTTGTATTTGACTGCTCTTGAAAAGAAATAAGCCAAAGAACATCATGAAGAATAATAAAAATAATGATATTTTAAAAGTATAGTACATATTTACAAACAAAATAGATAATTATGAATTTCATTAAATTTTACAACACAACTGTTAGTTTTATCTTAATTATTTATTCTGTTTATCGACCTATTCAATTTAAAAATGATCAAACACTATTAAATCATATAATTTTTATGTCTTTTCTATTCTGTCTCTAAAGGACACTTATTACTACCGTTTTTTTTTGTCAATTAGATTCCCAAATTTATCATAGCGAACCTTAAGAGTTGCCTCATTTACAAAATCTAATGATTTCTTGCTATCATGAGAAATACCATCATCTGGTAATGATGGAGGTTGTTATTCCAATGATAAAAAATCAGGTTTTGGAGCTGAACATTATGATTTCATATTTATTTATATGAAATCATAATCTAGAGATTTTAATGTTTAATGATGTTTATTCAATCAATTTACAATAACACTAAACAAATTAGAAAAGAAGAATATCATAATGATTTATTTCTTTATATATTGTACATCGTTTGATAATATGCAAATCATTTCTTTTAAGCTTTAGCAGCAGCTAATTCATTTCTTCTTCTGACTGAATTTGCTCTGTTTAACTTTACCAACTTTCTAAGAGCTGCCTTTTGTAATCCAACTCTTGAAGTACCGAATCTCTTTCTGATAACCTAAGAATATTAATAAAATAATTACTCTGGAAGCAGTGTGTACTCCATGTTTAACAGCCAAGGTTGAGGCATAAACTGATTGAGTGTTTTTAGCTTTTCTATCAACTTATTAGAATTTTGTGCTCTTCTTTGCGACCAAATTAATATTGTTAATCTAATTAACTTTTCCTGAGGTTGGAACAACACCAACTGCATTCTTACTGATGAATCCTTTAAAATAATTACATCGACCCAATTACCTGTACTGCTATATGTCTATACACCTGTGTTATTGAATGGATCTGTTGACAATGTCAATCCATTTCTCTTAACCAAAAAGGCATTGTTTCCTTTAACCACTTCCCAGAGAACTTATTGTGACATTAATTTTAAAATAGATATTAATTTTTTTCAAAATTTTCTTTATTAAGTAATTCATTAATGCTAAACCTCACTATTAAAAATATTCTTTGCATGTGCCATCGCATTTTCTGGATGTAAAGCATCCTTACATTCTTTCTCTGCCAAAATACATACGACTATTGTACCTAACTAATCAAATTAATCAAATATCCTACTTTAATAATAAAGTTGATAATTGACAATACCAATACAAATGTTTGTATTCCATCTGCCCAATTATGTGAAAATGTTGATGAGTTCCAAAATGGACCCCAATAAACTAACCAAACAAAATCAATAATCCAAGAATATACAAATAAATATATTAATCTAATCTTTTGTGAAACCTATTTGATTTCACTAAAATTTATACAGGTCTATCTATGTCCCATAATAAATATGCAAAAGCAAATAAAGGTAAATTATAATCTGGTCTTGCATAACATGTAAAGCATGAAATGAATGCTATTGCTAAAAATAATTTCTTAGGCCACTCCTACATTTCAAATATATATTATAATAAATATTATTATTAATATGAAAAAGAGTGATTAATTATTTTATGTCTATTAATTATTTACTTAATTCATTTTCAAGTGGAATATGTAAAAGATAAATATATTTTTACTTTAATTTTATTATCAAATTGTTATTATTAATTAATATATAATTTAAAAAGTTCTTCATGATATAAATAAAACATAGTTATATTTAAAAATATTATATTTCTATATCATTGAATTTTAATATTAACATATTAATTTATTTTAATTTAATATCATGATATATATATATATTTGAATTCTAAACATAAGAATCTTTTTATAATTATTATCATTTATCAATGTATTAATATCATAATCATTATGAGTAGAAGAAAATGTGTTCTTCCACCACTATAAGTTTAAGATGGACTAGTCTGTATTTGAATTGAAGATACATTAGAAACTTTGGCTAATTAACCTGTATCATCATTAGAATAAAACCAATAAATCTTAAAATAGATATAAAAATTAAATACCTTATATTTTAGATTAGGACTTAAATTTGTGAACCATACTTACTAAGTTTAATTTTAGATGGCACTGGAATAATTAAAAAATAAAAGGAAACTTTAATGCAAAGATCTTCCAAGAAAGTTTATTGATTTTCTAATCTAAGCTATTGATGGAATCTATGCAGTATCGGTTTATTCTATTCCTATTCCAACATAACCTTTAGCTTTAGATAATGTAAAATTCATGGTTGCATTGATAGATCCTACTTCTGGTTTTGTATAATTTAATATTGGTTTAGTTGATTGATCTGGTTCTGAATAAATAACATTAACAATAGTAGGATCTTCTTCTGGATCTATGCTCATTTTATTTGATAATAATGATATGAATGATTTTTTATCACTCATAGCTTGTTGAACAATATCATTTATAGTTTCATCCATTAAAGATAAATCTGGTTGGAAATAGATGTAATAAGATGTTAAGACACCTGTTAAAGTACTTACAATATCATTAGATGATAATGAAAGGATATTTAGAGTTTCAATGTTACACATTTATCCCTTGGCATCAGTTATTCTATTATAATCAATAGTAAAGATATAATTGATTCCACAAATTAATTCTAATTATTATATTGAAGTTAAAGGACTACTGAATGTAATATTCAATTTAATTCCATTTCCTCCATTGAATCTTGTTTGCCAATTATAAATAAGTGCTTCACTAGAAACACCAACTAAGTCAGCACAATAAGCTTGAATAGTGTAATCTGAGAATGATTTCAATCCACTAAAATGTTCTTTAGCTACTCCATTAATTAATTAAAAACCATAGATTTTCCATTCTAAATCACTTAGATTCCTTTGTGTTCTTGAGTAACCTTAATATATGGTTTGATTATAAATTTCTTCAAGAGGTATGTAAGTGATATCACCTCCACATCCAATAACCCAAAAGAGTGTTCCAATATTATTACATTTAAAGGCAAATTTGATGTCATTTTTATAAGCAATAGGTTAAATATCAAATTCTAAGACAGGAAAGTCTGATGGAGATGTAGTAATTTCAATAATAATATTAGGAGGTGGTGAATAATAAGGTGAACTAACACCTGTTAAAATAAAAGCTAATTCAACTTAAGTTCCAACCTCTAAGACTGTATCATTATTGTTTATTTACCAAATGAATTCATACTTATCAAAATATAACTTATATTAGGATTTTCCTGAATATATAATATTCTAGGGATTGTTAGAAATAACATTCAAAGCTGAATTATTATTAACCAACTATATACGTAAATCTGACATGGGATAACAATTTCCTACATTTATTGTAATTGGTTAAGAAGTACCTCCTTAAGGAACTTAATATATAGTTTATTCAGTAGTTAATTGACAAGGTGAATTAACAATATTTGCATAAATATTAGGTAATACACTTACATAATTAGATCCACCTGTTAATTTAGAGAATTTAAAAACTTAATATCCAATAGTAATATTGGGATCAGCACCAGTAAGAAATTAGGAATTTTAGGAACCACTATTAACAGAAAGTGAAGATGGAAATGTTTTTAGTATGCTTTTTTGGTATCCAAAAGTTTCTTAAAAACTGGATTAAGAGATGGGATATAATGAAATTAAAGTACGATAAGTACCAATAAAGATATTAATAATTTTAGTAGTTTCGTCTAAGATATTTAGATTTTCATCTCTTTCATATTTAAATAGTCCACCTGACCATATAACATCTTATTTATCTTCTTAAATTAATGAAAGAGGAATTGAATAATAGAAGGCTGATGTAAATTTGACTTTAGTATTACCACTTTAAATGATATGTATTTTAAGTCTAAAATCATTAGTTGGATCATCTGGTACTTATGCTTCTGGTAATGGTATATTACCTAATTCAATTGTATATTATTTAATTAAATTATTGGCACTATCTTCAGATAAGATCATTTGAATATATTATCTAGTAACGATAGTACATGTAGTAGTGAAATTGGTTTTAGTATTATCATCATCTCTAGTAATTGAACATGTGATTGCAGTAGCTCTACTTAATGGATCCATATAGAAGAATGGAAATTCAACATACAATATATTACCAATCATTACTGATCCAGAAGGTAATAATAATGTTAATTTATGTGTTTGAGATGTTCTAATATAATAACTACTTAATGTTGTATCTACTACTTCGATTGGTTATGTTTAATATTCATCTGATAAGGTATCTGTAAGTATTTCTTACATGTAAACTCCATTTGTGAAATCATCATCTTTATCAATAGAAATATAAATTGAGGGAAGTATTGGCCAATGTAATCTATTAGGTTGAGGTAAAGTAATTTTTAGAATGGCTAATTCAGATGGTTAAATAACAATGCAAACATTAATTATATATATTCCATCTTTAAGAGTACAATAACAAAATGTAGAATTTAATTGACATGAGACATATGGACTCAATGATATTCCATCATGAAATTATAATTTAATCATATAAGTTAATAGTATTTTAAGATCAGCATTTGTGATAGCAAATTCATAAATTGCATCAAATCCAGGACTATTTAATGTCTTAGTTTGTAATAGAATTTATCCTTTTGGAATATATGATATTGTATTCAATTATGCATACCCTATAGGTGAACTACTTTGAATAGTAGTAGTTCCAACAGAATCTACTAATTTACCTATAAGAGATTCAGCTGAAAATGTATTTGTAGGAGTTTCAAAATTTTTACATTTCATTGTAAATAAAATAGTATGAGGATTTGTAATGTCTTAATTGAATTTGATAATAATATTTGGCATAATAGATGTGTCAATAGAATAAATTAATTTAGATAATTATTAACCCTCATATACTTAACATTTCAATTTGTTACTCTCCATATTTTGATCTCTTAGAAATCCAAGTGATATTTAAACATATTATTTAGATGAAGATAAATACTCTCTTGCACTTTATAATCTAAAATCAAAAATTAATTTACCAACTCCATTAGAAGTTGGTATTTCTAATTTGAGATTTCCAATATAAAATATCTTACCTAATTAAGTATTCTATAAATTTAATAAATTATAATTGCACAATTCCTATAACACTGCAGGTGTATCATAAGTATCACCATAAGGTTATGTTTTACCACTTCTTATAGTAGGTACATAAATTTGAACTTTAAATGGTTGATTGGTACCAAATGATGATAATCCATAAGTAGATTAAATCATGAAAGTTAATTTTATAACAGTATTAGCTTGAATAACTTAAGCTACTGAACTAATCAATAATACATTGATGGTTGTAGCAGTAGATGTATATGTACAAGCAATATTATTGATACCTTCAATAGAACATAAATTAGTAGAAGTGACAACATTTACTCCACTAATTGCTAATGTTAAAGTGATAACAATTTAGATTGATCCAAAATTATTACCTCCTAATTTCATTGATGAACTAAATCTAATAGGAAATTATAGTCTTTGCTATCCTAAAGAATTAGCAAATATTTAACTAGTACTATCTAATTTACATGTATATAATTATCTATCTATAACACCTGAATCTTGAAGAGCAGCTTATAGAATTCCTTTAGAATTAGATAAAGCATATGAAACAAATGAACCTATTTTTGTATATCTACCATAGAGTATAACAACTTGATTACTAATTTGAAGTGGATAATTGATTTAATTATCAAATGGACAAAATGTAGTATATATATTAGTATTATATACAAACTATGTACATTACAGTTGACCAAAATAAGATTCAATAGTAGCTTCATCAAATAGATTTACATCAATACTAGTCATTGTTAATCCTGCACCAATGTATTAATTTTAATTTTATTCTAAATCCACATTACTATTTGAACTTGTTGTAATTTCCATATCTAAATATGCTGAACCATCCTTAAATTTAGTTGCATCAATATGCATATCAAATACATAAGGGTTTCTCACAAATGGAAACGTCAAATCAGTTGTCTCTACTGCAAATGCACTTGGTTTATACTTTCTAGTTTCTCCTGATACTGGTAAACCAAATGGTCTATAAACCTTTATAGGTATATTTGTTAAGATTCCATCTATTTAACTTGTTAATGCAATATGAAGAGTGTAAGTCAATCCTTTAGGAATTATTGGAATTAAGATTTAATTGGATTTATCACATATTATAGATTAATGGAGCATCCAAGCCTCTGATGGTCCATTTTAAGCACTAAATTTATAACAATCTGAATATGATGTAAATAATTAGATTTTAGAATCAAAAAATACTTACACTTTATCAAATGACAGACTCAATTATGGTACTTTGATTCTTAATAAAGTAGGAATAAAAGAACCATCATTTCCTGTTGTAGTACCCATATAATAATTAACAAAACTGACTTACAAATCATTTATTCGATTAATTGTATAAGCATTAATTAAATGTTAACTAATCTTAGTTTAACCTGATGAATCAACCCTATAAAAATTGATTATGAAATCTAACAATTATTCATCAGCATACTATGATGATTGGATGAAAGTACTAGAAAAAGTAACTGGAATCCCTATTACACCTTATTATCCAGGAGTTGAACCAGAAGTACCAATGAAATTGTTGTTTTCATTTATAAAATTAGTAACGCATCCTCCTCCACTAATAAATGTAGCAATTCCATAAGCTGAATTTGAAGATGAATATATTTAATAAGTATTTTGATTACCAATATCACAAAATCCTTTTTGAATACATATCAATTATTCATCACTGAATACTCCACCACCATCATTAGCTATATATTACATTTTTTTTGGTGCATTCTATTAATCACTATGTAAAACAAGACTATTCATCATTATTGTCATCTTAATATAATTGGATGTTGTTGATGGACATGTTACAACAGTTGAATCCCATACTTAAGTATTTGTTGTCTTAATAAAGAATAACAACATTTTATCACCATTCACAATTCCAACTGTACCTTCACTACCAAATACATCATTTAAATTTGTTAATGTGTCAGTAGGTATAGAAGTGACTTGAGTTTATCCTAAAAGTCCTCCTGATGGATTATGCCATCCAGTTAAATCTAAATAATGACTATCTTAAAGATAGGTGATAGTAATTCCAGGATTTTCTCCATATATTAATAAAGTATTAACAGTAACACTCTATTCCAAGTAAAAACTCAACTTACCAAATTCTGAAGAACTTGAAGTAGCATCATATAATCCCTTTGTTGAAATATAATACACACTAGATGCAGATAGTGTTCCAACATTGTGACAAATAATTGAATCTGTCACAAATTCACAATATACAGGATTTTCATCATTGTAAGATTGAAAATTATGTTTAGTGGCATAACTTAACGCATATATACAATTAAATTTGATCTTAACTGTTAATGGAAAAACTAAATTTGCAGATGCTTAAACAGAAAATGACACTTTGATTGAATTATAGGGTCCTTTTAAAACAGCTCCATTTTCTAATTTAAATACTCCTATTGAGGTATCTGTAAGATCTTCTTAAGAATCTATGCCCCATAAATATTATACTCCTTCTAATTATGTAGGTATTGTAGTAACCATAAAAACATTAGATCTAAATCCTTTTTCTATAATTCTGTTTCCTTATGTTGGAGATTTAGTTACTACACGAATATCTCTTTAAGATACAAATCCAGGATTCTCTACTCCAAATTGTATTTACAATTATGTATTTGAAATTATGTCATCTTAAGTAATTAATTTAATTGATTTTTCTGTTGTTGTACAAGTATAACTTTAAAATTTACTCCAACATGATTTCGATAAGATTTAGAAATCAGTATCATCAATACCTTCAGTGTGTTAACCTTAAACAATTTGTAATTCAATTTATGCTCCTTTGATATTCTCTCTTGGAGTAATAAAGATAGTCATAACATATTATGCACCAGGTTCATCATAATTAGGATAGAGATCTTGATCTACATAGTATGTGATAGTCATTCCTGATGGAGGTAATTCATCAACATTCAAATGACCAGCTCTGTAATTATAATCATAAATCATAGCATTATCATCTAAACTACTTATAGTCCTTAAGATTATTGGTTCATAATAAAATCCACTGTCTACTGATGTTGGATATATCGATAATAAATACCAAATGTCAGCATTTAATTGTACTGACACCTTAAAATAATAGTCTGATGTGAATGATGGCTAAGTTATTAATGAAGCACTGCTTTTTAAAACTAAGATATCATCTAATGTTGAAATGGTACAAGTAACTTCAGACATCTGAACCATTTATTACCATTATTACCTAAGTCTTATGCAAATCAGCTCCTCCAAATTATAGAAAACCACTATCAATCGTTGTTTCTAATCTAAATGGAATCTAGATTAGACTTAATTTCCCTTCAATATCATATTCATAACTGAAATCCCAAGTTGAAATATACCCTCCATAAACTAAGTAAATTAAAAGCAATAAAGTATTAAGCATTATAAAATTATTAACTTAATAAATTCATCATATAATAAAATTATTAACAAAATAATATAAATTCAATTCATATCATTCTAAACACCTAATTATCTACTCAATGCATAATTAGATCTAAAAGTTTTCTTCAATGTAAAATTTAACATCCTAGGAGATTTCTATACTTTTTAAAACTCTCCAATCCTTCGTAACTTGGCTCCTTTCTATATTGCTTCATAGAAAAAGGAATATACTGAAAACTCTGGAAATACTCTTTTTTTACCAAAGAACTTTTGTAATTTTGCATATCTATTCAATATTACATCTTACCTCTTAATAACTTAATCATAATTATATTTTGGTTGATAAAATTAATAAATCTACATCTTTTCAAATCCTTAAATAACTTAATTAACTTAAAAGGTACTTTAAGGTAAGTTTTATAAAGTTGTAATAATAGTTGGATTATGTTAATGTATTAATGTTCTTAAGGCTTATGATTTGTTAGATTTGATATTATTGCTAACATTTGATTGATGTCTTATATTTAAATCAGATTATATATGATTTCCAATGATTTTCATATCTATGGAAGGTCTATAATGTTTATTATCAGTTGAAATCCTTTTAGATGACTTTATTGATTTTCTAGTTTTCCTAAGATTTGAATTCATTATATTAGGTTTAGAATATATTGGCTCTATTTAATTCTTTGATTCATCAGAACTGTCTTCTTCCTCTTATATCATTTATACTATAAAATATTCATTTCATAATAATGATACCTTCTTTCTTCTAGATATTTTAAATTCCAAAACCTGCTGTTTATAATGTTTATAAAGCAGTTCTACTTAAATTGTTCTTAAAATTGATCATAGATTACTATTATTATTAATCATCATCTTGAATGCTTTCTGATTATTGTTTAAAATCCATAAGAGATTTGATATTTTAGTCTAATAAATATTAGTATAATTACTTTAATCATCTATTTCTACATCTTCAAATATATCATACATAGCTTAAGTTGGTGATTCATAATCTTCAGTTATCTTAAAACTAATATCATTAATATAATTAACAGCTTTAACCTAATTTATATTTAGATTAATTCTAGAATTAAATTTTTAGTTGTATCTTTGATGTCCTTATTTTCTTTCTTATTGTATTGGATAAGATTCTTATTTTATAACTCTCTCTTTATCAACACAATAATGAACATAATTACAATCAATAATCATATGTGTATTACTCTAACAACTAAAACATCTTAATTATAAGGGAACATAATCTTTGAAATTTAATTATTCTCTAATTAAAAAGTATTTCTCTTAATCATCAGGATAACATTTAAGGATATCTAAAAAAACTTATCTTTTTATTTTGAATACTCTTGTAAAACCTCTTGAAATTGCTGTTGCTGTTCTAGGATTTCCTGAAAAAAATGAAAATTCTCCAAAACTATCAAATTAAGTATAATTTTTAAATGAATTTCTTTTAATTTTTTCTTTCATCTCTACTCCTTCAAAGATTAATTCTACATCTCCTTTTGTTATTATATATAATGCACAATCATCCAATTCATTTACCTAATCAATATTAATATATATAATACAGAGATGATCCTTTCATCTGGTGAATAAGATTATTCTTCCATATATTATAACAAATTCTTAATTAAAGATTCTGAAAATGTATTTACCATTATTTTACATTTTCTTAAGATATTACCTCTTAATTAAAATTATAATTCTTCTTATAATTACTTACTTAATTTACTAATTACATCACCAACTTAATCATCATTCTATTCCTACTCTTCTTTCCAAATATATTCTAAATAACTTCTTATTTTTGTTTATAAATCAAACTCAATCTTATTTTTAATCATAAATTTATTTATTAGTCTAACTGTTTTACTATATTCTATTGAATTTTTGTAAATGTTAGTAACTAATATACCTATACTATTAACAGAATAAGCAAAAACAATTGAACCTATGAACATAGTAAGATTATTAATCAAAAGTTCTAAATCATTCTTGGCAGTAATATCTCCATATCCAACTGTAGTCATAGTCATAGTTGCCCAATAGATAGCTACATTATATTTTGATCCATTTTATTAATCCCTTAAATTATATGCATCAAGCCAAGAAAATTAAGAATTAAAATGAGCTATACCATGCCAAAGACAACCAAAATTATGAACAACACTAACAATTACTAAAAGTACTTTCATTAAATTTACTAAATCATTCATTATTTCACTTAAATTAAAAAATCTACATTATATATATATATATTTACTCTTATAATTATGCTAATATATTATTGATTTTTGTCACTCTTAACACATAAAAGATTAGACACAATATTACCTATATTATTATTATTTAAAATTCTTTTGAACTCAAATTTGGTACAAAAAACTAAATCATTGCAGTAAAAAAAGACACCACGAAAATAATATATGAATTAATACTAAATCAACAAATGCATTCTTCTAAAAGTAATTCATTATTACTTTTTAACGATCTTTAATTAATTGGCCTTTATCTATGAATGCAATATTCATACCAACACCAATGTCTAATGCTAAAATAGCCATTAAAATAATTTCAGCAGTAAGATTTTCTCCATTCATATATAATTCACTAAGATGGTAAATTTCAAATGAAATCTTAAAAGGCAACCAAAAAAATATTACCAAATATGTTATTATTTAAAATAGATTCCAAAAAATAAGGAATTTGCTATATGGTGTAAATACATCAATAAATCCAAATATCTAATTATTCTTATTTAAATCTGTTGTTTCAATCTTAAATTGAAGATCATCTAATTAAGATATTTGATATTATGTCAATTACTCTAATTATCTTATATAAGAACGATTGATAAGGTTTTTTATGAAATTATTTTATAAGCTTTTTGCAATGATGAGTTTCAATAATTTTGATTTTTAATTGGAAGGTATTTTATTTTCATAGATAGCTGAAGGGATATCTTAATTTTTATGAAGACTTGTCTATGAATTAATAAATAATCGAGGTGATTATGCATTCAAACTACTTAAACTTTGAGCTTAATAATCTCCATCTTAAATTCCTACTCTACTACTAAGAAGTGGTGGTATTGGACCTTTAAAATCACCTTCGAATGAGTGATGAGACATGTCAATTAAAAATGGCAATAATATTAGAAAATTTATAGACAAAATGAATTAGTTTATAAAAATAAATAATTAACATTTAATAATAATTACAATATATGTTAATATTATTTTACTTCACCTTATGTTATGCTGGTACAATATGGCCAGGCTTTATTAGTAATACAATAGCAAATAGAAATCAGTATTCTGATTACACAATCTAAGTTATTCCAGAGACTAATGTTCCTGCAGGTGGTTATATAGAAATTGTATTCCCAATACAATATTAATCAGGATTAGGAAATAAAGCTTATTGTACTAATTGCACTATAAATGGACACACAATTTCCTTTTATTTTACTGATACTCCAATTTTGAGTGTAGCCAATACACTCAATATATACAATATTCTAAATCCTGCAGAAAGAGGAGGAACTGGTAATTTTATAATAAGAACAAAAAGATTTGAATTCATTTATGATGAAAATCTTATATTTCAAACTATTGGTATTGCTGATGATATTGCTTAATTAAGTTCATGTATTGTTTCATTTGTTGATCCTCCTATTTCAGGTAGTTTAGGTAAATATAATTTTGCTTTCAAAACCAACATCAATTTACCTTTAGGAACTACTATTTAATTATTCATTCCCAATGTATTTATTATCTCAGATAATCCATCCTGTTCACTCTATTCAATTAATGATCTTGTAATTGAGGGTAACATTGTATGTAGATTATTGGAGGGTAGTAGAGTATAAGTGAGTGGATTTTCAAATGATATAATAGCAGGTAGTGAAGTAGGAATATAAATTTCATTGACAAATCCTTCATATTCATAAGTGACTTCAACATTTACAATAGCTGCCTATAGATAAGGAACATCAATTATATACACTTGGAAAACAGGAATAAATGGCATTCAAATATTGCCTGGTTTAATTAAAGATATAACTTTATTACCAATGTAAAAAGTAAGATTGGCTACACAAAAAATCGTTGATTATTAATTGAAATTCCTACCTACAAATTCTTTACCGAAAGGATCAGCAATTATGATTATATTCCCTAATACCTTTAAATTAGACGGTAGTTAAGTCTATTTATTTTTTAAATCTGGTTTAGAGGATATATCTGAGACTAGTCCTTTGTAGATGCAGAAAACAAGTGAAGACAACATTTTAATAACAAATTATAAGGAAACTCTTCCTAATCAAATAATTATTTAATTCAGAGCTAAGAATCCATCTACTGCAGGTCCATCATCTGCTTTGGATATTCGTACTTGTACTGATAGTACATGTGTAAATATTATTGATTAAAATAAAGTTGATGCCGTTATTTAAGTGGAAGCTGTAGGTATTAATAATAATCAATTATAGCTTCCCTTGATTTCATTGAAGTAACATTGAGTCCAAAAACTTCTTAATAAACATCTACTGATCTATAATTTAGAATAACTCCAACATTTGTAATTCCTGGAGGAGCATACATAAAAGTGCTCTTAGATTCTGCATTTTATGTAGGTACAGTTTCAGCAGCAAATTGCCTCTCCATAACTTCACCAATAGAAGTATCATTAATGTGTAATAAATCTGATAATCTCATCACATGGTAAAACCCATTCTCAGTTTAATATAATGTAAACTTAGAAAGTTCCTTTTCAATTGTAAATTTAGTATAAACTCCTACTTATGCAGGAATCTATACAGTAGATATAGAAATATTTAACTCTTAAGGAAGTTTACTTTAATCATATACTAATTTTATGAAAGTGACACCATTAGATCTAGCATCTCCAACATTGGAGTTTGTAGGCCCTGAACAATCAATCACAGGACCTCCAAATAAACCTAGATATAGTATTTTAATAACGACATTTTATAATCAAATTATTATACCAGAAGGAGGATATGATCCAACTAAATAAAAAGCTTAGGGAAGAATTAAATTTTAATTTCCATCAAATTCTTAATACCTCAATAATTTTTTAGGTACTAGTTACAAGGATGGAGATCAAATACCTTGTAAAGCAGTAAAGGGTTTATTGCCTATGGAAAATTTGAAGATCTAATGCAATATATATGAATAATCTGATCCACTAATGGGAGCTTTTATTATTATGCGTAATTTTAAGGAAATCCCTTATCGCAGTAATATAGAAATCCACATACCAAACATTTAAAATCCTGCAGCTACCACTGCTGAATTTACAATCACCATCCTATAAAAGTAATTTGGAGTTGATACAGAATTAAATATCTTTAAAAAATCACAGACATTCAGAACCTAATTTAATTTAAATCCAGGAGTATCAGTAAGTTAAATGTAAATTAGTAATACAAAATTGTCAGGAGTATTCAATGTTTCTATGGATATAGTGCCAGGTAACGATTTTGATGATGGCACAGATTTTATAGTTAAATTACCTGGCTATGATACTATGTTTATACCAGATTAAGAAATTGTTGTTTGTTATATAGATACTTATTTAACTCCATGCATAACTTATCCTGGTGTTGATTGGATATTAATGAGAATTAAGGCACCATAAGTTCATTATTATACAGCCCCTATTAAACCAAGATTGCATATCTACAATTTAAGATGGCCTCGTTATTCTGATTCTGTTGGATGGGTTTCATGGACAATGTTAAAGGATCCATTTAGTTCTGGTATGAATTATGAGGTAGAAGCCAGAACTCTCTATTATAATGGAGGTACAGATAAATTTTTGGCTCCTGATATTAATGATTTCGATGAAGCCTAAATTTTATCACCCAAAAAAGGAAAAGGATTTGTGGGTCTAAATTATGAATTTTACTTTAAAACAAAATATTTAATCCCTGATGGAAGTGAATTCATATTAACCTTTCCCACTGATTTCAGTTTGGATGGCTCATATCCTTAACCATAATTCTAGGCTCCTTAATTTTATTCATAGAGTGATTCTAAACCATTGTTATTTGTTGTATCTGGTAATGTACTTAGAGTCAAAAATATCAGAGAACATCCTGCAAGTGGGCCTTTCAGAATCATAGTATAAGGTGTCAAATCCAGTAAGTAGCCATCAATTCCATAAGCCAAACCTTTTCTTGCAGAATTGTAAGTAGGGGGTAAATCAATAGTTAAGACATAAGATGCAACTAATGGATTTGATTATTTTGATTATGGAACAGAATTCGTTCCAGGTAAAGTAATATTTAATTCTATAACTGCATTCCCATCAAATTAATTGGAATATGCAAAATATGAATTTACTTTCATATTAACAAATGAATTACTAGCAGGAGGAGAAATTTCAATAACATTTCCAAAAGAATTTTATCCAAAACTTCCAGTTCCTTAAATAGATTGTATATGTAATGTAACAGGAGCCTTGACATCATTTAAAAGTTGTAAGTTGTGGGATTACACTTACATAATGATAACTGATGAAAGATATCAAAGTGGTGAAATTACATTCTAAATTAATAATGTATTGAATCCATTGTCTGGTAATGCTGGACTATTTACAATAACAAGCAAATATGATGGAACTTTCTTAGATATATCTGATGATACATTATAGTCTGTTAGATAATTATTCATATCTCCTAAATCAGAACCAGTTTTAGTGTAAAGTATAGATTTTGCTCCCAGAAATGAAGGAGAAGAAGCCACTTATACATTTTAATTTGTTCCATCAACTTATATAGATAGTGCTTTCATAGTATTAGAATTTCCATAGAATTATGATACTCGATTGGGAAATGTAATAATTTGTAAACCATATGATTGTATAGCTTAAAATAGATAAATATGGGTAAGTGGAGTTACTAATTATTAACCATTAGGTACTAATCCAATTATTGTGATTGTTTAAGGGATTATTAATCCAAATTAAAATATTAATGATTAATGGACAGGTTATTTTGGAATAGGTGTTATTAAATAAAACACTTTTAATTATATAGATTATAATTCAAAGGCTGGTAGACTTTAAGTTGTATAAGCACCAGGATGGTCTTATTTGTATAATGTTCTTCCTTAGAATTTATTTTCAAGATGGAGTAATACTTCATATATGTTCAATATGACAGCTTTGTTAAATGTTCCTAAAGAAAGTAGTTAAGGAAGTATCATTATTGATTTTCCAAAGTAATTTGATATACCTGATGGTACTAAAAGATGTGCAGTTTATAAATCAACATTTGCTTAAAAATTAACATGTACTTCATTAACAAATAGTATTACAATATAAGGAAATACAGAAGATAAGAATGGTATTATTACATTTAATGTTACTGAAATTGCAAATCCATCTGATGAAGTAACAATTGATTAAATTTTGGTAAAAACATATGATGGATTTAAAAAATAAATAATTGAAAAATCATATAGAAATTTAGATCCATGGACTTTTACATATAAATTTCCTGGACCATTAATAACTATAAATGATGATAGTGTAATAACTGTTGAAAGAGGAACTTAAACAAAAGATTTATGGTTTAAAGTAGCTTATCCTTGTGCTTTGGATTTAATATTCACACCTATAAGTGAATTAACAATTATTCCAAATAAGATAAAACTTTCATTAACTGATTTATAATAAAAATTTAGAGTATCTGCATCATAAACACTATAACCAGGAACATATTATATTACATGGAAAGTAAGTGGAGAATTAAGTGATATTCCATATTATACTCCAGTTAAAAAGAGTACAGTAAAAGTAACAAATAATAAAAATATAAGAGTTAATGTACCTACTTTAAATGAAGTACCTATTGGTGGTAATTCACTTGATACATATGTATCAGTAGATTATGCTCCAGATTTAGGATTTGAAATATTATTAACATCTTTAAGTACTGCATTAACATTAGATAAAAGAAGTATGTAATTTGTAGCTGGTTAAAATAATGCCACATTTAGAGTGAGTTGTAATAAAACAGAATATTAAAAGGTATCAAGTAATAATCTATAAATTTCATTAACATTAAGTGGTATTAATAGAGATGTCTATTTATTGACTTAAACATTAATTGATATTACTATTATTTAAGAAGATTCAGAACCTCCATTTATAACAGGATTATTAAATGATTAAACTAGTTAAACATAGACTAATATAATATTCAGTGTTGGTGAAATTGCTGTTGTATATTATATGATTGCACTTTAAGGAACATAACAACCATCTAATAAATAATTACTTGATTTAGGTCCTGCATTATATAATACTACTCAATCTCAATTTGGTAAAGTATCAATTGGAAAAACCAATACAGCTACTGTTAGAATAAGAAATCTAAAAGCCTAAACAAATTATGTTGTGTATGCCATAGCTGAAGATAGAAGTTCATTATTCAGTGATATTAAATCTCTCAAATTCAATACTACTAATAGATATAATGCTAGTAGTGTTACACTCACTTTTAAATAAAGTTATTTAAATTAAGCTGAAAGATAGAACATTATGAAAAAAATAGCTTTTGTTTTGTCACTCCCTACTACTAAAGTAATTGAAAAAACATCTTATACAACTTAAAGAATATTATAATCAGTATCAATTGGATTATCCATTTATTTAATTAGTATTCCTACTACTGAAAACTTCCCTTCACCATATAATATGGTTACAATTCTTAATTCAAGATTAATTCAACTATCAAAATTAGTATCCAATCTTGATACAACAACTAAATTAGAGGCATAAGACTTTTAACCAGTTTATCCATCATTTATGACTAAACCTTCCTAAGTTAGCTCTGATTTTACTACTTGCACTGTATAAGGTACTCTTGATATGGTTGGTGCATTATTTGTCATCTCTGTCTAAGCTGCATAGGATACTGCATCACCCTTAGCATAATAAGTATGGTGGGGATATAATAGTTAAAATCTAGCTATGCCAGCCAATTGGACATAAGTAACAATACCAAATTAAATCTATCAAATTGTAATATAAGACCTAACTGAAGACACTGATTACAATATGTATATTATTTATTTTATTAAATAGTTATATGATTGCAGGTTCAGCACATCCAGGATATCCAGATCTATCAACAGATGAGAAGGCTGTAAATTTGGTTTCATGTAGAACTAAAGCTTAATAACCAGATACTATTTTGGATATTAATTGGGCTAAATTATTGATCATGAACATATTAGTAATAATTATATTTTGATCAAAATACTTAATTATAATCATAATCTTTATTGAATGCATTTTATTTAATACTTTATATAAATATTTATGGAATCCATTAAGTTTAATTTCTAAGTAATTCTCTATGTAATTAAAATTAAAATAATGATAGGAAGGAAGAATTATGGAATAATATTAGTTAAAAGAAGTTAAAAATCAATTAAGGAATGTAAGATATAATTAGATAATTAAAAAATAACAAATAAAATATTTAAATACTTATATATTTAAACCTTTAATAAACAATAAAAATAATAGCATAGTTATTAAATTTATAATTTGAAACTATTGATTAAGAAGATATTAGGATTTGTCTATAGATTTAATTTTAATTAAGATATAATGTTAATTTAAAATGTAGTAATTATTAATAATTTATATTTTAAGAATATGATATTTAAGTAGATTGATAATTATTAAAGCATGATCAATTCTTAAATCTAATTTATATTCTTAAAATTTAATAAGAAAGGACAATAATAATAATATTTATAGGAAAAACACTTATAAATTTAAACGGTTATTTAAGTATTAGAAAAAGTACTTATAAAATATATACGAAAAATTAGATAAGAATAATTTTTATTATGTAATCATTATAGGTATGTTATAAACATAAGTCAAAATTANATTGAAAAAACATCTTATACAACTTAAAGAATATTATAATCAGTATCAATTGGATTATCCATTTATTTAATTAGTATTCCTACTACTGAAAACTTCCCTTCACCATATAATATGGTTACAATTCTTAATTCAAGATTAATTCAACTATCAAAATTAGTATCCAATCTTGATACAACAACTAAATTAGAGGCATAAGACTTTTAACCAGTTTATCCATCATTTATGACTAAACCTTCCTAAGTTAGCTCTGATTTTACTACTTGCACTGTATAAGGTACTCTTGATATGGTTGGTGCATTATTTGTCATCTCTGTCTAAGCTGCATAGGATACTGCATCACCCTTAGCATAATAAGTATGGTGGGGATATAATAGTTAAAATCTAGCTATGCCAGCCAATTGGACATAAGTAACAATACCAAATTAAATCTATCAAATTGTAATATAAGACCTAACTGAAGACACTGATTACAATATGTATATTATTTATTTTATTAAATAGTTATATGATTGCAGGTTCAGCACATCCAGGATATCCAGATCTATCAACAGATGAGAAGGCTGTAAATTTGGTTTCATGTAGAACTAAAGCTTAATAACCAGATACTATTTTGGATATTAATTGGGCTAAATTATTGATCATGAACATATTAGTAATAATTATATTTTGATCAAAATACTTAATTATAATCATAATCTTTATTGAATGCATTTTATTTAATACTTTATATAAATATTTATGGAATCCATTAAGTTTAATTTCTAAGTAATTCTCTATGTAATTAAAATTAAAATAATGATAGGAAGGAAGAATTATGGAATAATATTAGTTAAAAGAAGTTAAAAATCAATTAAGGAATGTAAGATATAATTAGATAATTAAAAAATAACAAATAAAATATTTAAATACTTATATATTTAAACCTTTAATAAACAATAAAAATAATAGCATAGTTATTAAATTTATAATTTGAAACTATTGATTAAGAAGATATTAGGATTTGTCTATAGATTTAATTTTAATTAAGATATAATGTTAATTTAAAATGTAGTAATTATTAATAATTTATATTTTAAGAATATGATATTTAAGTAGATTGATAATTATTAAAGCATGATCAATTCTTAAATCTAATTTATATTCTTAAAATTTAATAAGAAAGGACAATAATAATAATATTTATAGGAAAAACACTTATAAATTTAAACGGTTATTTAAGTATTAGAAAAAGTACTTATAAAATATATACGAAAAATTAGATAAGAATAATTTTTATTATGTAATCATTATAGGTATGTTATAAACATAAGTCAAAATTAAATTTTCTATTGAAACCGTTTTAGTTGAATGTATTTAATAAAGTTGCAGTATAAGTATATGATAATTATAATATTTAATGAAACCCTATATATAGATATAATTTATTATACTACAATATATAATATTTATTCTCTTTTTTTTTGTAAAAATTAAAACACATTCAAGATGAATTTACCAAAAATTTCATTTTTTGATGATCCTAAATCCTAATTATGGATAAAGGAAGTAATTTAAATGTCAGATCCAATAATAAGTGGAACTTTGATAAGAAATTCAAAGAAAGGTATTTAGAAAGAGATCAACTACTTTATATAAGATGGAAAATTGGCAAATAATAAGAAATATATAGATCTTTAGAATGTGACTTTGGATAAACTTAAGAATTATGGTTTTAAGTTAACTAGGAATAGAAAATCAATAGAGTTATTTGCCCATAACGAACAAGCACAAGTAGTATGGTATGATTATCTTAAATCGTTTTGCATTTAAAGAGGGTTTAATAATGTATACACAATAAACAAATTGATAGGGAAGGGTAATTTTGCAAAGGTAATATGTAATATGATATGTAAAAAAGGTATATAGTGCATAAAAAAAGAGTGATCAATCATTGTACGCTGTTAAGGCATTTGACAAATTGAAATTTTAAGACATTCGAATTGATAAGGTAGAAATGAAGATTTACATATTATAAGCCTGCATTAATAAAGGAGTTATCCATAATGAGGAAGATGGATTTTCGAGGAGTGATCAAATTGTATGAGGTTTATGAAAATGACAATTACATATTTTTGGTTTGTGAATTATTAGAAGGAGGAGAACTATTCAATTAAATGAAAGGAAAGGCTTATGATGAAAAGACAGTGGCTAACATCATGTATAGAATATTGTAATCGATTGATTACATCCATTCAATAGGAGTATTGCATAGAGACATTAAAGTATACAATACGTGTAAGTGTAGCCTGAAAACCTTATACTTCGATCAAAAGGAGATATGACAGATGTAGTGATAGCAGATTTTGGTTTAGCAGATTATTATAATCCATCTGGTGATTATATGTTTAAACGTTGTGGTACTCCAGGATATGTTGCACCTGAATTATTACAAGATAAAATCTATGATTTCAAAGTAGACATCTTTAGTGCAGGAGTACTAATGTTTATAATGCTAACTGGTGCATCACCATTTAAAGCAAAATCTTATGATGAGATAGTGATGAAGAACTACCATTGTCAGATCGAGTATAATTTAATTAACAATCATCCACTCAGTGAAGAAGCAATTCATTTATTAAGATCATTACTTGAAAAGAATCCAGATCTTAGAATTAGTACAGACTTGGCACTTTAACATTAATGGTTTTAGAAATAGGCAGACTATTAATTGCATCTGTAATTATTACATAATAATTTAAAAGTGAAGAAAACCTACCTAGACATAAAAGAAATTCAGATATGTATGCTAGAACACCATTAATGGGTTAAGAACTTAATTAATCTTTGACATCAACTCCTTTGAGTGTGACACCTTAAATGAGGAGTAAATCAAATACAGCTGATATAAATCGAGAAGAATAAAATGGAAATACATTCAGATAACAAAGTTAATCAGTCAAAGTTTAGAAATAAGAATGTATTTTAGAAGAAAATGATTACAATGTTAATGAAGATGATGATATTCCTCGTAGTAATTAAATTAAAATGTATTAAATCTAACCAAAATTAAAAAAAAGTAGTCATTTCATAAATAATATTATTAGATTAAGAAGAATAATAGAAATACAATGTTGATAATGCAAATAGCATTCGTGGGTCACTCAAATAAGCTTTTTGAATAATATATTAAATTTACATAATTTTGTTATTATAATATTGTTTTCTCATCATAAGTTAAGTACTTTTAGATTAGTAATAATAATATAAATGTCTTTAACATAATGGAAGACAAATTTTAAATATTTTCTTTGACCTATTCAATAGAATTATCAATCCAGTAAAATAATTAAATGATATACTATGGATATAGTTAAATAAGATTATTTAGGATAGTAATAATCAAAAAATGGGTTGAATTATAAACTACTTAGATTTATAGAACATAATATTTAAATTAAATATCAAAAGAAATATAAAATAAATTACAATAGAAATGAAATATATAGTGTTTAAATTGAATTAATTATCATTGAATACTTATTTAAGAACAGCATATATGATTAAGTCATAAAGATTAAAATAACTTCATTTTATTTAAACAAAATTTCGATCTAGAATATTCTCTATTCATAACTTATATTATACACGAATTACAATTAAATATATTTATATATGAAATATTTCTTATTATTTGCTCTTCTTTTGATTGTATTATCAAGAGAATAAATTGAAGAAGTTGATGGTGTCTTACAACTTAATAGAAAAAATTTCTAATAAGCTCTTGATGAGAATCCAAGATTATTAGTAAAATTCTACATTGATACATGCGGATATTGGTATTTATGGTTTATTTAATCTTAAATAGTAAAAAAATGAAGCCTGTCTTTATTTAATTAGCAGGAATGTTAAAAGAATATGGATTTGTTTTAGGTGAACTTAATGTTCATGAAAACAAAGCTTTTAGTGCCAAAAATAATATTAAATCATATCCAACACTCAAACTTTACAAAAATGGTGTTCCTAAAGACTTTCCTAATTCATCAGATTCAGTTGAATTATTATTTGAATTTGCTCTTTAAAATGCTTATGATTAAATTACATAATTAAATACATAGGAAGAAGTATATAAATATTTATTATGTATAGATTGATCTATTTTTGAAAAGATCGAATTTTGCAATTCTCAAATATGTAAATAATGATGATGATTTATAAAAATTCGTAGATGAAAATCTAGGTATTAAATTTGGTATTGTTGTTAATCCTGAACTATAATAAGCTCATTCATCAAAATATACATTATATCATAAAGTATTACCAGAACCACTTAATTACAATGGTGAAATAGATGGATTTTTAGAATGGATTTTAACAAATGGTTATCCTGAAGTTTTCACATTTACAGAAGAAGAATTTATTAAAGCAGAAAGAGATAAAATTTCTTTGGTTGGAGTAGCTGGTGTAAAAAATAGTCAATTATATGAAACTCTTTAAGGTTTAGCAGAATTGTATAAAAATAAAATTAGATTTATTTTAATTGATCCAAATTCAAAATTACCTAACAAAAGATTCCATTATTTAATCAAAAAGAAAGTAGTTGCAAAAAATGTTGTTTATTATTATAATTATGAGTAATTCCATTATTCTAAAATAGGACTAATAAAACAAATACAGTTGAATTTGCAGATGAATCATTGGAAACATATAAATAATTAGTTTAGACTTTGATTGAAGAATCAAATATAAAAAAAGAAACTAATAAATCTGGTTCTATTAATTATTTTTAAGGAGATGGAGAAGTTCATGTTTTAACAACATCTAATTTTAAAGAATAAGTATACAATAATCCAAATCATGTATTTGTTAAATTTTATGCTCCATGGTGTGGTCATTGCAAAAAATTAGCACCTATCTATGAGGAATTAGCTTAATAATTGGATAGAAAAGATATAGTAATTGCTGAAGTTGATTTTACAACTGATAAAATTGAAGGAATTAATATTGAAGGATATCCTACTTTAATATTTTTTAAATCTGAAGGTGGTTAAAAGATAAAAATAGAATTTGATGGAATGAGAACAATTGAAGGAATGAAAAGTTTCTTATTGAAATCATTAGATAATGATTCTAAAAGTGAACCCTAGAATTAATTAACAGAAGAAAATTTAGATGTAAAAGAATCTGATAGAGTTGATATTCCAAATGATGGATAAGTTATTTAATTAACAACTGATAATTTTGAATAGATTGTATTAAAAAGTAATTAAGATGTTTTTGTGAAATTTTATGCTCCTTGGTGTGGACATTGTAAAGCTATGGCAGCAGAATATATTAAATTAGCAGAAGAATATAAAGATAGTAAAAATGTTTTGATTGCTGAATTGGATGCCACAGTTCATAAAATACCAATTGTTGAAATCAAAGGATTTCCAACTTTAATTCATTTCAAAAAAGGAAATGTTAGAGTTAAATAACTTAAATATAGTGGTAAGAGAACTGCTTAAGCAATTAAAGACTATATAGAAGAAAATGGAAGTTTTGCTAAAAAGTAAGATCTATGAATTATAAATATATTATATTAAGTAAATTTATTGGTATTTTTAGATTTATATTCAATAAAAATTTAACACTTTTAAGAAATCATATTATATTTTATAATTTTTTTATCAATCTTCCTTTCCATTGTTTCTATTAAATTTCTTTGACTGTTATTTATTTACCCTCATAATCCATTTATTTAGTTGTTAAATATTAACCTTAATAAGCATTACATTATAAAATCTCTTCTGGTTTTACAAATACTCTAATAGGTTTTTGATTCTTTTAAATAAAAGATTCTTAATAAATAGATCGTAATTGATTTGGATATATTTTTGAAATAGTTTAACTATTAAATATTATATTTTTGTACTGAAATTATTTTTGTTTAATATCATCAACTGTTGGTTAGTTTTCATCTTTAATTTTCCAAATGAATTGATTTCTATAATTAGTTCTTGTCATTAAATTGGCTTTAACAGTAGAACGAAATTGAGGAGCCTTAAATATATTTGGAGTATAGTCCTTCCAATTGATAAATGTGAGCAAGACTATTGAATGAAAATTCGTACATTATTAGTAGTTTATCCAGTTGGCAAATTGTGAGATTCATACATAGATTTGGCAGCTGTTCTTGATCTATCTTATGGTATCCATTTGTAATTATCTCTCTAAGTAGAATTAAATTACATAGATGCAATTGGTAATCCAATATTATCATAATGATTTTATGTTATTATTGGAGTAAAGCATTTATTTTATTTTGGTACGTAATCAAATTTATTTGTAGTAAGCATACCATATGCATAATTTAATTCTAATTTCTTTTTATATTAACAAATGCATTTGTTGCAAGTACATTTTGCACAAGCACATTATGCAAAGATATGACAAAGATATGATTAATTATCTTCTACATATTATTCAATATCTGGAATGTCTTTTAAGTCTTCCTTAAAGATCTATTTGAACTTTTATTCATCACAATAATCTAGCCAATCAAAATCAATTTCAAAACAAAGAGGTTGAGTAGTTGTTGAAGATTAATGAGATACAATTGATTTTGGAGGAGCTGTATTATCCAAATTGTTTAAGCTTAATTTATCTATGAAATTATTTCTTAATTGTTCTGCCTTTTTATTGGGTTTTATTATTCCTCCATCTTTTTTATTCTTGTAAAATTTCTTTAATTGAGGTTTTTATAACAGACTATTTGCTCTATTTCGAAGTTCCTTCTCATTTAATACATCATTAAATCCAGAAGACTTTGTCATTCTTGCTTGTTCTATTTCTCTTCCAATCGATACATATGTAGATTTCTTAGACATTTTATATTATTAATTATTTCCATCTAAATGAATAATAACATGAATCAATTTTGCAGAATCAATTGGCCTAAAGGACTTAAATCATTCAAATCAAAGACTATTCGTTTAAGTTAAGATGTTGTCAATTTTTTAAAAGAAGATGGTATTTTCTTAAATGATGCATGGAAAAAGCCACCTCTAAAGGATAATGGAACAAAACGTTTTCTTGAATTAGAATAAATCATTAATGAAATCTTAGATGACTTTGAAAGTGTATTCATTAAATTGAATTGGAGGGCTCCTCTTGATTGTTAAAATACATTTTAAGATATGTGTTTTTATGATTTGTATGATATTATGATGGCACTTAAATATTCTGGAGTCATTATGGAAATGATTGAAGATTATGATGAATTAGTCATTAATCAAAATCATCCAGATAAATGTTAATTAGTTACTTAACCATCTCAAGGATATTTATTGGAGTTAAGAAAATACTATAAATTAAGACCTAATGCAGAATTTAGATGTTTTGTTAAAAATAAAAAATTGATAGCCATTTCTTAAAAAAATCTATATTTAATTACTGATGATGAAAGTGTGAAAGAAAAAATTTAAAATTATTTCAATAAGATTGTTGATTTAATTGATATTGATAAATATGTATTAGATGTATATATTGATATTCCACCAAAAGAAAATATTATTCTGGTTGATTTAAATCCCTGGTAAGAACACACAAGACCTAAATTATTTACTTATGAAGAATTAGAAATTATTTAAGAATGTCAATTAAGATTAGTTAAAAATAAAGATATGATTGTTTAAGAAGATTATAGTGGATATAGAGAATCTATAGATATAGAAACACTTATATAATAATAATAGTAAGAAAAATAATAGTTATAAAAATGAATTTGAATTTATTTATATATTAAATGTTTGTACAATACAAAATTAGACAATCATCATTCAGAATATAACCATCCTGTTTTGCAAAATGTTTCAGCAAGAACTAATGACAAAATAGCCATCAGTTTAATAAGAATGTTTAATGATGGTCCTGATGTATCTTTAAGAGGATCACCAACAGTATCACCTATATGTTATATTTAATTAATTACCAATAACAGCAGCTTTATGTTCATCTGATCCCTTCTTTCTCACTTCACCTGCATCATTTTTATAAAAACCAGCTTCAATATATTTCTTAGCATTATCCCATGCTCCTCCTGTATTTGATGCTGAAATAGCCATCTAAACACCACTTACTAAAGCTCCAGGTAAAAGACCAGCAACTGCTTAAGGTCCAAAGAATAATCCAACAGCTGTAGGAGTTACAATAACCTAATTTTAGAAAATTAAAAATACCAATAGACCTGGTGGAATCATCTCTTTTAATGAAGCCTTTGTTGAAATTGCAATACATGCTCTGAAATCTGGTTCTTCTGTTCCAGCATAAATTCCTGGATGCTCATGTAATTATCTTCTCACTTCCTCAACCATTTATAAAGCAGCCTTTCCTACTGATTTCATTGTAAAGGCAGAAAAAGCATATGGTAACATAGCACCAATCATCAACATAGCAAAGATTATTGGATCATCAATTTTTGCTCCTTCAGAGTAAGGGAATGAACCATCACTCTTTTAAAATGTTTAAATTCTAGTCAAATAACCTCCATAAAGTGATAATGAAACTAATGCTGCAGATCCAATTGCAAATCCTTTTCCAATAGCAGCAGTTGTATTACCAGCTGCATCTAAAGCATCAGTAGATGTTCTAACATCTTCTCCCAATTCACTCATTTCTGCAATACCTCCTGCATTATCAGAAATTGGTCCATAAGCATCAATGGCTAATCCAATAGTTAAATTTGATAACATTCCTAGAGCAGCTAAGGCGACTCCATAGAAAGATAATAATTTCATTGATAAAAAGGCTGTGACAGCTATTGAAACGATTGGAACAATGGTAGATAAATAACCTAAAGCTAATCCATAAATAATATTAGTAGCTGCTCCTGTTCCACATGATTTAGCAACTTCTCTTACTGGACTATAAGAATGGGATGTCATATATTCTGTGAAATAACCTATCAACAATCCTGACCATACTGAAAAAATATTATAATTAATTACATCCCATCAAAGAACAAACAAATGCGTGCCATGGTTTAAGATTTTCCAATTAAGTTGTACCATCTGCTTAAATCATAACATAATCTGCTGGTAAAGCCCAATATGAAATACCAATAATGATTGGTGATAAGGCAATAGTAGATAATAAGAGTTATTATTTGAGAGTTGATTCAATCTTATGAATATCAGTGACTTTTTAAATGAATACTGCATATCCAGACACCAAAATACATATTCCAATTCCAAAAGCAGATACCATTAATGGATACATCAATTATCCAATAGTTATATTAAGAAGTCCATCTTCATTAATAGCCCTTAATTAAGTAGATGAGACGACCAATGCTGCACAAGTAGATTCTGCAAATGAACCAAATAAGTCTGCTCCCATACCTGCAATATCTCCTACATTATCTCCTACATTATCTGCAATGGTGGCTGGATTCTATCAGATACTATATTAATATACCTTTGGACTATCTTCTGGTAAATTTTTTTCTACTTTTCCAACCAAATCAGCTCCAACATCAGCAGCTTTAGTGTAGATACCTCCACCAACTCTACCAAATAATGCAAATGTTGATCCTCCTAATCCATAAGCAGCAACATAATCAAACATAGAAATCAAATTTTCAACATCTCCATTATCAACTAATACAGCATTATAGATGATGATGATTAATGATAGAATGGATAATGAAATTGACACCAAAAGGAATCCCATAACACATCCACCTCTGTAGGCCATCTAAATGATTTTGTGTCAATATATACCTAAAATGCATCTGATAAGGATCTTATGGCACAAAATGCTGTTCTGAAATTTGCTGCTGTTGCAATTGCCATACCCAAATAGCCACAAAGCATAGAAGTAGCTGCTCCCAAAACGAATGCTAATGTTGACCATGGTGAAACAAACTAAATATATTACACAAATAAAAATACAATTAAGGCTACAGCCATTATAGCTATAAACACACTGCAATCTGTGTATTCTTCTTTCAAAAAGGCTTGGGCACCCTAATAATTAAATTAACTTTTTTACATCAGAAATATGTTCTCCAATTTCTAAAAGTGTTTCGATTTTCTCTTATTCTGCTCCTTATAATTTTTCTGTCAATCCTTCATGTTTGTGATGAATTTCTATTTTATGAACTGCAATCCAATTGAATATGGCCCATGCAATTCCACAACCACAAGCTATAAAAATGAAAACGAGTGCTGTTACAAACTCCATTAATAATTTAATGTTTAAAAATAAAATCTTGAAATTGCGCAATAAAATATACCAAAAATTATTCACTAAATCCTCATAGTGCGTAATAATTTAATTAATTTAGTATAATATTTCATTTTATTTAATTATCTTTAATACTTATTAACTAGTTATTATTTCAAAAAATTTATCAAAAAATGTATACCTTGATTTATTCAAATAATATTTAGGATTTAATTTATTTAAGAAAATTTATAACTCTTAATAAATAAAAATAAATCAGATATTTAAAATCTTTTGTTATGCTAAACTAAGTTCTTCAAGTAATTGGAGCTAAAAAAACTGAGGAATAGCAAATGGAAGCTATCTATGATGATTTTCAAAGACCTCCAAAGATTTAGATTGCAGAGATGCATGCTGCTGCAACCAAATTTGCAAAGACTGACTCAAATATCGATCTCGATAAAACAAATGTTTGTCCCTGCTGTGGACTACCAGCTGTAATTGAAGAAATTCCTTTATGTTCATCAAGGCATGAATTCAGTTTCAATGGTTCAGGAATAGCTTTATATTTTGATTTCTTAGTGTTTTCTGGTATTATTGTCTTTACTTACATGTATCTTAATTTATGGAAATTTATAGAGCTATCAGTTGTGGATACAATATATATGTAAATTCTCATGGAAAGCGATGCAGTCATATAAATAGTAGTTTTGCTGAATTATGTAAAACAGACTTTTTTAACTAATTTTCATTGACAAATGATCATGAGTATTAATCTTTAATATATATACTAGACAATTAGATGAAACTCGTAGTATACTAAATTTTATATCCTTAGTAGTAATATTGTTTATGACCTTATTTTACAGAAGACACATAAACAAAATTGCTATGGAATTAGATGATGCTGCTATCTTAGCTTCTGATTTTTCAATCTTAGTTGAGAATATTCCAAAAGATGCCAAAGAACCAGAAATTTAGGAATATTTTTCTTAATCATTTCAAAATGAAACAGTGGAACTTAGAAAACTTTGCATAGCCTATGAAATTTAACCTTATTTAAAACTAAATACTTAAAAATAATTGAAAGAATCTGTGCTTACAAAAGTACTTGAATTAGAGGCAGAAGGAAAATAAATACCTAAATCTATTCCATCTAGAGTTTAATTAAAATAAGAGATAGATGAAATCTCAAAGGAATTAGATAATATGGAAGAAAATAGGGCCACTAGATTTGATTTCAGTGGAATTTGTATAATCAGTTATAATTATGAAAGATAAGCTGATAATGTTTGTAAAACATTCAAGGCTACAAGATTTTAAATATTATTAGATTAATTAGGATTCGAACAAAATAAATTCTAAAAATTTAGAAATAATAATCTTTTTGTAAGAAAAGCACCAGAACCAGGTGATATCATTTGGGGTAATCTTGGGATTACAATCAAAGAATAATATAAAAGAACATTAATAACTAATGCTATGACTCTATTTTTATTAGCAATTGGATTTGGATTATTACTTGCATTGTCCTATTTATAAAATGTCATAAATAAAAATATTTCAAAAGGGTCAGCTGCAGAAACAATTATTGTTTCTTTTATAGGATTTGCTTCATCAATTCTTATTTTGATTATAAATACAATATTAGCTAAAATGATCA